ACTTCTTTGGCTTTCATGTGAAGGACAATGTACAGTAAAATGTACTTCGTCTTCTACTTTACCTAAATTACAACGTTAGCAAATGACACTGTAGATAGCGCATGCATGTAACGTTACCATACGTGCATGTAATAATGAATGCTGGTATAACCGATTAAAATAGGGACTTCAAACTCATGCATAACATAATACGCAATAGATACATTAGCGTTTATGGTCTTATAGTTGTTGCGTTATTGAGGCGTTATATAGTTGGTAGCGTCGTAAAATACGTTTTGTGATGCTCACGTAAAATAACTGAACCATGAAGACGACATTACAGATAAGTTTTCATCCATGCATATATTATAATATTAATTAGGGCATATCCAATTAGACAAAAGACACTGATAAGAGACAAATAACTCTCATGTCTCTAGCTATAATTGTATGAGTTGGAACGTTGTATTTCCCCATGATTAGTGTAATTAAAGAGATGCTGTAGATGGATCAGTGCTCAGAGTGAAGTAGATAGAACACATTAGTGATGACTATCAGTGTAATTGAATTTGTAAGCTCCTTGGGGAGGTTACACAAAGTGTAATTGGGTTCGGTTGGGGAAATGGTTCCAGGCAGCGTAGAGCATAAGCCATATCTAGAGTGTCAGGGGTCTCTCTGTCTTAGGCCAAAAATGTCATACTTGGTTATGGGTATGTAAATTAAAGGACTTCTTGAAGATTTAAGATTTATTGTCCCACAGCTCCTACTCTCAAATTAAAACTTAGGTTTAACTTCCTGAGCATTACGGTATTATGCATGCGTATCTACAACAACAAGCACATACATGTTGTCATACTCATCGTCATAGTAGTTCGTATAAAGCAATTTTGTCATTGAAGAAAGCAAACGGATACCTGAGCATTCAAAACACATAACGCTATATAGTGTTACTGCTGCCATCTACCGAACACGCGTCATATTGCAGATTGACGTCACCTCTGTAAACTGATTCGCGACGACAAGTCGTGTACCATGTAGGGTTACAACAGACACAGAGATCACTCACAAAGATACAGAAGCAACATCAGGTGGCCTGTGTAATACTAGTTGCTCACGCTTCATGCATTCCATGTATCCATCATTTCAAGTTCTACAGTGGACTATTAATATAAAGTGGACCGACAAGGTATTTGGGTCAGCGCTAACCACGGGTTGGTGAGGTGCCATGTACTTCGAAATCCATCTTCTCTTGTTCTGTGGATAGCTCTATTAGCCTATCTAGAGCTGCCGACCTCGCAATGTGACCCTTACCAAGGAGGACATTTGTTCATAGCAACGGACAAGTGCGATGTTGACAACTCGTACCAGGGAGAGGATAGAAGAAGAAGGTCTCATGTGCTCTCATACCGAACGTAGGGTGGTGCCCACCCTAGCCTTGAGCGACACACAATTGTGCAAGGCACTACAGCAGGGGGCTAGTCCGCTGTGTGTTTGACCTTCCTACACTCTTTCTCATATGTGCTGAGTGCTAAGCAGAGAAAGAAGTGTGTACCATTTTTAAAGTCTTTGGTATGACCCGGCCGGGGTTTGAACTCACTACCTCCCGGTTACAAAGCGAGCACTCTACCAATTGAGCTATTGGACCGGGAGAGGGTAGCACGAATAGAAATACTTTTAGGGGTGTTGTCTCCTTTTTCGCTCCATCAATTCCTCAATGTTATTCCTCGATCAACTGTTGGCCAAGAAATGTATAATTTCAAGAGAGAAGAAGATTTTCCCCTGGACTGTTCGTGTGATTGTATCTGTATCTGTATCGATATAGCCGGTATAACCGCCCTTCGGCGTAACACATCAGCTTCGCAGGCACGCGGCGCGGCGGCAACCAGCTATATCACACCGAACGACTTGTTACACTTAATCTTTGCACATTTGATTGCAGGAGTTGTTTAAAGCTTTCTAGTGATGATGCCCCAACTGTGCTTGGTGGCAACTAGTTCCAGTCTACGATAGTTCTGGGGAAATACGAGTTTTTGAATACCTCAATTCTTGGTTGATAACTCTGATATGTGACGGCATGACTGTTTCTTGCTTTTCTGGGCTGGTATCAGATACTTAGTGGTTGGTACGTCCACCAGATTATTAGTCAGTTTGTACATCATGCACAGTCTGGACATTCTACGTCTGTCTTCCAGTGACCCCCACTGTAGGTTTCTTTTCATTTTCGTTACACTAGCATCCCATTGGCAACAGCTACCAGAAAGTTTGACCAAAGAGGTGGACTTGGGACTAAATTGCATATTGATTCCAGTGACCTACATCTGACGGAAATGCTGCATTGATCAACTGTCTGAAAGTCTTTACCGGATAAATCAAGTCTGTGAAGGCAGACCGATATCTGATAAATCTGTTCATACCAGACTCCAGGGGGGGGGGGGCTGTAAGTTAGTTAGTTGATTGGAGATATAGACCAAGAGCATTTCCAGGTCATCACATTTGAATTTCCAATGTGCATAACTAGGACGCCGAAGGTAGACTGTACCTAGAAAGGTAACATTTGCAAAGCAAATGCATCATGTTTAACTTCACATGGCCCAGCTCAACAAACTACTGCTTTGTTTATTCTTAAGCTTACACAAACATAGTCATATATATGGTGACCATACAGCCCCTTTCAAACTCAGTTGCGCATGGCACCTGCAACATTATGTAACCCAACACCAGTTACCATGGTTACAGACGTCTGGTCCTGGTCATTGACCTTATGTGTTTGAAGAAGCGAAAACTGAGCAAAAACAATGTGATTTTCTTCGGTAAACATAATTATACATAGAAACATTATATGTGTCGACTGCCACTCCAAAGAGTTTGCTGGTGTCACTGTTAATGTACTTATACGAAGTTCGATAACATGATATAATTTTTTTTCGCTACATAAACCTTACTTACCCTGTGATTGACATCTTGACAGTGCTGTGATGCTGAATGATGTATTTTCTAGAGTTTATACTTGTAAAATCCATACATGTACAGTTTGACTTTGAAATACAATGAGACTTTACTCATACCCCACAACACTAAGGCTAGTTTGAATAATTATCGGAAGGTCGATAGGGGTCAGTGAGGAAACCTGTTTCAATTTAAGTCTTCTGATTACAAAACATCATTATAAGATATTGAATCCTTTCTAACGACCGACAGATTCCATTTAATTCTGGCGCGAAATCCAATTTTCCTCATTGAACACGACTTGATATTTGGTTAGGGTTTGTTCATTGGGGGGTGAAGACAAATATAGAACGTTCCCAGAAGAGACAAATTCACTCAGTATCTCTTAATTAACATGAGCGTAAGGGGGCCAAAGTCATTGAGCTGTATTTCACATTACAGCTGACCTAGATAGCAAAAGTTTTCTTAGGCCTTGTTCATATGAAACCACCCGAACCGCGATTCGGGTAACTCGCATTCCTCACATCTGGTCCACGTGCCATACATTCCTTTCAAACCGTGCCCGATCACGATTCTCCAAAACTGCATTCATTGAAGAAATATCACCCCGCAATCCATGACCAGGTCACATTGAAATCACATTGCGTTCAGACGCAAATCGCGATGCAAGAAAACCGGTTCGAAACCACCTCTCGAAGTGGTTTGGGATCGAGGCGCTTTCAATGTGATTTGGAGCGTTCAGATGGGGCCACTTGAAACCGGCTTCGGGGGAAACCACATGTAAAGCGCCTTCACTGACTTCATATGAACAGGGCCATATTTGAGAGCTGTTGTTGAAAGTTGAATGATAATGCCTTTTGTATTAGTATAGGTTTACGTAGTGCATTACTAGAAGGTACTACATTTAAAGATTATACATTTAATGGTTTAATGCATAATGGCGTTTTAGCAGCTCTGTTGTATTTTTAAATACTTAAAAGTATCTATTGACAGAAGCGTTGGTTTAAGCGGCCGTTAAAGTGAATTGGAGCTAAAAGGATAGGCCATTTCGAGGTTCCTACAGTTTCTTTCTTTCTTTATTCGTTCCACCTTATTACAGCTTTCCATCGTTCTAAAGTAGACTCACTATACAACGAAGCATGTTATACCGGCCGGGTATGGGCAATAATGATATGATATGAATCTTTATTGCATGTTCTTGCCCAGATGGGCTAAATGCACAAGAGGACATGCAGTATGAAAGCATGGGTATTGCATAGTGGGACGCTATATTCTAATGCTAATTGCTAGGAATTTATACATTATAACAATACTATATACTACCTATCATCTACTGTTAGTTGCCCTTTCTTCTCTCTTTTTGAAGCATTTGGAAACATAATTACATAGTTTGTCTGCTATACACTCGTTCTTGCATGACATCAAGTGTTTAAACATGTCCTGCTTTGACATTTTCTTGCATATCTTGTCTAAATGTAAAATATCGAGTAGTTAATAATAAGAACTCAGCCAAATGTATCGACGTCCTTCAGAAGAGCGCTGAAGGCTTTCAACAGTGAAATGTGTGTTGCTCTGTGATGTCAAACCGTGAGATTGTTACTGAAGGCTCTGAAATACATGCACAGACCTGGTGACCTGGACAGACATCGCTTGTCATTGCGATTCAGGGTGACGAGTGTTTGACGGATCTACCTTGACACCTGTACTGATGTTACGGGATTGAAAAAACGATCCAACATGAGGCATAATATATCCCCACCTTACGTTTTTGAGACCATGTGAAATATTGACCTTAAGATCACATCCATGTACATGTATGGCACCGATACTCTCCAAGCAGAGGTTTGGGTTATTTTTGGCGTGTTTTTAAGCTTTCTAAAACTTTTAAGCTTTTTATGATGATGATGATGATGATTAAGCTTTTTTATGGGGATTTCTTTTTTTGCACTCGAATGTTTTTCAGAAGGTTGGGTTGGGTGAGTATGGCATCAACATTTCTACTTGGAGAGTATGGCATCAACATTCCATGACGATCCGTATTAACCAAGTCCGTCATGTTCCGTCCGTTGCTGCAGTGCCACCTGGCGGCGAGCCGGAGATCGTCACCTTTGATGACATCATGGGACCGGCGGAGGACGCGGAGAGCCGTCCTTCTGTCCTGCCGCCGGTCGTGTCCAAAGCGCCCCCTGGCGGAGATGCTGTCGCTACAAAACTGCCCGACGTTCGCCCCACAGAGACGCTCGGTCAGGACGTGAAGAAAGGGAGGGGAGGCAGAGGGAGAGGGAAGGTAACGGACTACATTCTGATGAAACTTTGCTGTCTTCAAAATCGCATGTAGTATTGACTAAATGATTGTCTTTATCACTGATACTGACTTACAGTAAGAGACTTTTGCGAAGACATAACTTCTTACGTTTTACCATTTTACTTGTAACTTTAGATTTGACATAAACACGGTGATAGCCAACTAAAATAGGGAAGAACATAAATACGTGGATGAATAAATGTTAATGTATCACACTATAAACTTCATATTTTCGACTTTCAATATATGTACGTAATGCAAAGCCCGTGAACATTGTCCATCGCAACTATAGATATTGAATACAATTCTCTGAGTATGTATATGGCCTCCTTTGGTCAATATTGATATTCATCACGGTAAAATCCTTATTGATAAAAGTCCTAATTGATGATACTCTGAGTACATGTGTACATTTCTACCCCACCACCCTTGCGTATTATTTGTTGTTATCTATTATTATTACTACTACTACTACTTGATTATTACTTTTATTATGATATGTCAAATGTCAGTGGAAGATCGCGGACAAGCCATGATGGCTTCTTATCTTCCCCCACATATCCTCTTTTGTTTTGCTTAGGCCATGTTGATTTGATTATATATGGATGACATCCGCGCGCGCATGAATTTTCGGCCGTTTCCAAAAAAAAAAAGTTTTCAACCATACTGTAAATCGTGCAAAACAGTTGCTAAATGAGCAAAAATATACCATAAGTTGCAAGGAAAACATTTAGAAACGATACCAATGTCATAGAATGCCAAAATCAAAGGAAAAAAGACAAAAATGTAAAGAAATGAATTCGAAGAGTAGATTATTCGCCATAACATATTCTGTGCCATTTGTTCAACCCTCATGACCACGTAGATTTCATAGTGAAAGCAACTTTTTTTTTTTTGCAAAACTTTTTTTTATTCGCACGCGCGCATCAGTTTTGGGGTTCCCAGAGGATGTCATCCATATAATCAAATCAACATGGCCTTATGCCTATTACTTTCTTTTATTATATACGAATAAGACAAACAAACAAACGTACCCCGCCTGTTCCAGGGCCGTGACCCGCCCCGGCTGAACGGTGCCCAGGACGTCCCCACCTCCGACCTGGAGGACTTCCTGGGAATGAGACTGCCTCACAACACCACCGACGTCTCCTGCGAACTGCATGATGATTGCTTCGAAGGTACCCATTTCGTGAAAGTCCTCGTATTTGTTGTTTAAAATCATCCTCATTATGTACAAGATTAAGAGTATTAGGATAAGGGAGCAAGTATTATGAGAAAGGCGTAAGGCAAATAAGAGAAGTACAATTTACAATTTACTAGTTACTTTGTGCATGGCACATTTTAGACGTTTTCAATTAAATCACTGTACATCAATTGCAAGTACATTATGTAAAATATACGTTTTGGAGATATCAAAATCGTGCGTGTTTCGTATGGAAAAAGTAGCAAAATCGTATGGAGAAAATAGCAAAATCTCATACACAACCCTCACACTTGCTTTCAGTGATCCTTGCTTTAAAATTAAGTCTTTAAAAATTTTTTTAAAGTTGTTTTTGGACGAAAAATGTTCTAGATTATATATTTGGCTGTTCCATCTGTGTTTCATTCCTCGTTACTATAGTGATGAAATCTTGTCCCGTTAGGTGAGTGCTGCAATGCGAACAAGGGGAAGTGTGTAGCGTACAAACAGGAGCAGGGCCAGCGCTGTAAGGACTCCTGTATGTGTCGGAAGGGTGAGGACACACCGTACTTATTTCAGTTGTCAGATCAGTTCGTTAAATCCCACCGGTTTCGTATATATGTAGGTATTCTTCCGTCTCTTGTATATATTGTATTCCGTCATAAATAACATAAGGGAGACCAGTTGTCTATGTTGGGAACTAGAACTCAAACCCGACCCGCTTTGAAAAGGATCATTGATTATAGACGTTTGGGCATTTTCAATGCAGAACACATGTTTCAGCACCAAGGACAGGACAACCTTATTAGCCAGAATAATCCTTTCCGAGTGAAAAAAGACTGGTCATTAGACTCGTTACATTTACGTACCTTGTAAAAGCCGTCCGGACTTTATTTTGATGCCACTTTCTCCTATCCTTTGGTTAAGAAAAGAATAACAATTTTTTGTCTTTGTTTTTCTGATTTTGTTTACTACAGGTCTCCGTTGCTTTGTGCGCAAAGCGAAGAAGATGGTAAAGACAGGAAAGATCCGAGGACAATGCATGAATCCGGACGATCCTGACCTACCCAAGGGAGGTGCATTCCTCCCTGATATCTAGCCAATAATGAAAAACACTGAAAGCAGATAAGGCAGGGGATAACAGTTAGATATTCGTCACATATTTCAGTAGACACATAGGAAGAAATAAAGTATTACAACAAAGTGATATCTGAAGGAACGAATATGTACGTACATAATGCAGAAAGCTTATGGCCAAAGAATGCTTATTTTAGCACGAGTGATGAGAAACATACAACTGTATTCAGCAAGGTTGCAAGCAGCAGAGAGTCTCAGAAATTTCCATCTCACCATGAAGGCAGTATTAGAAAGACAAGAAGTCTGTTCGAATCATGCAGATACAGAAGTTGTGTTTAAAAAAATTCCTAAAAGTGTAAAAATTCAAGCCGCATTCTCCCCTAAAAGCTGGAATGCAGAAGCCCACAACTATGGTTCCAGTCTTCTTTCAACGTGTCGAGCAGATACTACACAGAGGAGCGCAATCTACAAGGAGACAACAAGTGTTCGACAGATCCTATCAATGGCAAAAAGCAGCGGCCACTCTCTCAATCCAAAAATGAGTTACTAATTCCTATTGAAAATGCCCCTAAAACTTTCAGCTGAAAAGAATTAAATTGTTCCAGACACTGGCTTTGTTGCCTCTGCATGATTCAAACAGACTGACAAGATCTATACACAAAATGTTGAGGAAAGACTGCGAAAGCTTGCAAAATGAAAAGATCCGGGAGAAATACTGTTGAGCCTTGCAGCAAGACAGATGGAAATGGTAATGCAGGACATACGCATTAGAGTTCAGAAATCCTCAACTGCCGAGGTAGCCTGGACCACCAGGCACAGTTCCGGCCTTCACAGGCCCAGCCCAGGTCTGTGCCTGATGTTCTAGGCTACACCCCACAAAGAAACTCAAACCAACCGTTGTTCTACCGTTGACTCCAAACACACAACCAAGGCATTTTTGCCTATTGTTCAGTTTATCAAAAAAGGTTCAACACTAAGGGTAGCTGTTATACTCTGGTATAGAAAGTTTGAAATAGAACCTTGCCTGTACATAACAGCTAAACAGATGAATCAGATGAACTATTTCTCACATGTTGTATTGACTCTTCAACCTGAACCTCACTAGACAAGGAGACAATACAGTAATTAAGTACTAATTAAGGAACCTACGTAGGAATTAGTAACCAGTAAGCTTGCATGGTAGAAGAAAATTGTAGTGCCGATTGTGATCCTGTACATAAACCAGCCAGTAAGTGGTTCACTTCCAGCAGACTGTTGCTGTTGACGTGAAAAGAACTTCACCAATGTCTTATCGTCGATGTGCATGAAAATCAACACAGAAAAATGTGTTTTAGATTCGTGTGATTTAAAAAAAAAACACAGTGAAGATAGTAGAGTAAATGTTCTATTAACAAGTCACTATTGTGCAAGATGCTTGCATGAAGATACATGTAGGTCTAAATGGAAACTGTACCTAAGACAGTACGAGTGCACATTTCAAGTAAGATAAGGGCAGTTTCCAACTACTTCTGTTGTGTACAGAAAACTCCAGTCTACAACTTGCAGAGGACAGAGTCTGTATTGTACTGGGTCTGTTGTGATTCTGTCTTCTAGTGAAACTTGTTGTAACTTGTGCTATAATTCAGGTGCGTCTAGTTAACGTGATTCTTACACACAAGTCCTGTTCTCGTGACAATGTTGTCCTCTATGCAAGTCAACTGTAATTGTTATGAAAGAAAAATTAAAACTACTACACACTTTGTGGTGTGATTTTTCTCCACATTCTCTACTTGGTATTATTGTCATAGATGCTGTTAGCTAATATCTTAACAAAGAAAAATACTGAAAACTTGCCTCAAAGTTTTCTTTTTGTTCAATTTCTTTCTTAGCTAACTAACTGCTGGATGCCTCCTGTGGATCAGGCTCTATTTTCAAGCCAGCAAAGTTGAATTGGAAGGGTTGACCATCTGAAGAGACTACTTTGACATTTGAACCCTCTTCTATATTTCCAGCAAGGTTCTCATCATTGGCATTTCCAATCTGTTCACCATTAGATGTTGAATTGTCCACAGGAAAGTTAAACTTGAATTCGGCATCAGATGATTCAAATGTCACATTGACTTCTGCCTCAGATTGAGGCCTTTCTTCAGGAGAGCCCTCAGAACTGAAGAGAAAACATGTCCCTTTATTCGCAGTAGACTTTCTGAAGAACCGACCACTGTCTGTCTGTTGAGTGGCTGGCTCCAGTTTCATCCTCTTGATTGCTGATGTAAAAAAAGGAACACTGCATCAGATTAAATCTGTCAGACTTTGCATGGCATACAGAAGCTGCAGTTCCTGTACATCTTGCTAGGGGCCACTGCAGAAACTGCCTGGTTTTCATTTAGTGATTTCTGTCCGATAAAATACACCAGTCCTGCAAAACTCTATCACTAGATATGAAACATTAAAAGCAAATGAAATTAATTTCTGGTCTATTTTCCTTTGGAACAGAAATTAGGGTCAAAGCGATTTCAGACTCACCAGGATAACTAAGATTCTAAAGCATGACAAAGTACAGATTGAGAAAAAGTTCTCTGTTTCTTCTAAATTAATAAAAACAATGCTCAGAATCCATTTCTACAAGTTACATCATTGAGAGGTGCTTCCTCGAGAAACAGGAATCCTGACCTTGCTTACTCTTCCGTTCCTCTTCAAGAATCTTCTTCCTGTAGTCACCGAACACGGCCCACATCATCTGTCGCTTCTTGGGCATGGAAGCCTTGGGGGACTTCAGGGTATGCAGAATCTTCATAGTGTCTTTCACTGAAGCAAAGAAAGTATAAACAAGCCGCTAGGGGGTCCAAAATCTAATCATTTCCAGGTCTGACCAAGACCTACCCACCTACCAAGTATCAAGACAATCCATTTAAGCCTTCTCAAGTTATCGTGTCTACAGACACACACACACACACACACACACACATACACGAATGCCTCTGAAAATATAACCTTCTTGGCGAAGGTAATAACAACCTCATCTTAAAGATTTGTGCTGGAGAAGTATCCTGTATCACTCTCTGTGACATCTTGATCAAAACATATACAGAGTCAAAGGGCTCCACTCCTGAGGCATTGCCAAAAACTACACCAACATATCTAGATTATAAATATGAAATAGATATCTTAAAAGTTCTCACTTTGTTTTTCGTCTGGCTTCATGTTTTGTAGACCTGCTTCTAGCTGATCCACACACCAGGCCAGTTCTCTCTCAAACCTGGCCACAGGAGACTGCATGGAAACAACAACGCAGAGTTAATCAACAAGCACACAGGATCGGCTTCTGTTTCATATTTTCATGAAAAAGCGAATACGACAAAATCAACATAACATAACAGCAAAAACAGAACTGCTTCTAAAATATGTTCTCAACATTATTCGATATTTAATACAAAAGAAAACTCATCACCTCCTCTTCCACGTCCTCATCTTGTGCTCCCTGTGAACAGATGTTAGTCAGTGGTTAGTTTGGAAACATGGTCATACAAGAGTTCCACGATCTCATACCTTCGCCAAATGATGTTAACCCTTGCGGCTGATGAATTATACAATTTTGATCGATTTTGCAAATAAAAACCTCACTTCCGTTGATCATATTCTCCACCCAATGACGGCCTTATCTTAACAAAAAAGGTATTATAGCAATTCCTCATAAATTATGCAAATGAGGTCATGATTTCAATAAATTATAACGGACGCGTTATTTAACAAGCCGCTAGGGGGCCCAAAGTCATGTCACTTCTTCCCTACCCCAAATTGGTTGGTAGATAGTTGGTACTAGTTGGTAGATAGTTGGTACTATCTACCAACCAAAATTTGTGACCCTAGCATGTCCAGATCTCGAGATATCAAAACCGGAAGTTCTGCTGAAGTACCAACAAAAGCTGCCAGGAGGCCCAGAATCTAATCATTTCTAGGTCTCATCAAGACCTACCCACCTACCAAGTTTCATGACAATTTAATGCATACTAAGCTTCTTGAGTTATGCTGTTCACAGACAGACAAACAGACGGACAAACACTACTGAAAACATAACCTTCTTGGCGAAGGTAATAAGTTGTTGAGAAAACTCACAAACATATGGTATATCGAGGTGTGAAAATTATAGCCAGACTTAATTACTAGTATCACGTGTACATGCACCCCCATCAACCGACCTCCTTATCTTCATAATAAGAACAACAAATGTGTAAAAAAATATATCTTTATGTAGAGTTGACCGTACTGATGTAGTAGCTCCTTGATGTTGTTTCTTCTTCTTCTCTTTTTCTCTCCTTCGCCGGTTTTTGTTCTTCGACTTCCCTCCATCAGTCCCAGCGTCGGCCATGTTGGGTCAATATAGGTCATTTAGCCATACCATTCAATCATAGGAGAAAATGTTTCGTATCAAATTTTTCAAAACTGATTAAATCAAATAACATTCTAACAAATTCTGACAAAACAATATAGTAATATATTATACAACTTTCAGTATAGTTTACTATAATCAAATAGTCTATAACTTTTATTTGTTTTGGGGAAAAATAACTTTTATCCCCTTTCGTCGGAATGAACTATTCTGTCATGACGTCATCGCTATCAAGATGGCAGAAGGACTGAAGAGGACTCTCGGTAAACCTGGTTTTGACCCTGAAGACTGTAAGTATCTTTGCCTAAATGACCGTCATTTGTAGCTAAACGTTACAATAAAGAAATTAACATTAAAGCAAGGGTACCGAAGTAACGGGTTCCTCACTGGCCGCCCAGTGCGGAACTCACGGGGAAAGTGGCGTCGACACTCGGGGCCCTGTGTGGAAGAAAGCCCCGCACTGGAATTCTAGTGCAGAAACGGCTTTGTTCCAGTGCTGAAACACCATCAGGACTGGAATTCCAGAGCTGAATCTTGACTCGGCACTCGTTTTCCGGTGCTAACTTCCACTCAGCACTCGTTTGCCAGAGCTCGGAGGCCGTTCAGCACTGGGTAGCCAGCGCTCGGAGGCCGTTCACCACTGGATAGCCGGTGCTAACTTCCACTCAGCACTCGTTTGCCAGAGCTCGGAGGCCGTTCAGCACTGGGTAGCCAGTGCTCGGAGGCCGTTCACCACTGGATAGCAAGTGCCGAAGTCCCTAAGTAACGGATTCCTCACTGGATCGTTCCAGTGCTCGGTGACTCTTGGTGCTGGAAGCCGAGTTCTCAAATCATTTCGGCACTGGGCCTCTGGTGCTTACGTCGGCCGCGCCCGGCTACGGTACATTATCGTAGGCCAAGTCTATGTCTAAAAATGTGAGGATCTGAGCCTTGCAGTATTATCCTGCCGATCACCTTGTCCTCCTGATTATAATTTGCTTCCCGGGCGGTACGATCTCATAAAATATAAGTGTTAGAGTTCAAAGGCGGCCTCTCGGTACCCTTTCTAAAGACAAGGTTTGATTTGCCGATTTAGAGTTTCCAGTGCTGAAGCCGCCGACACTGGACACCAAGTGTTGACGTAACTTCGGCACTGGAGATCTAGGACGGAAGCCGCCTCACCTCTGTATACCGAGTGCTGAGAAAGGAACCCGTTACTTCGGTACTTTTGCAACATTAAAATGACACCGTTAAAGTGGTATACAGAGCGTGCTATACTCCGAAAATGTTCGGTTTTGTTTCAGCTATATTATGAAAAGGGGAGGGGCTGCTCGTTCATTTTGTCATTCCAGAAAAACAAAAGGCCATTTTCCCAATTGACACTCCTTGCTCTGTCTGATAACGACTTGCAGTACTGGAACTTAACGTATTTAATGTGTCGTGATTGTACTGTTTACTGTATCCTGACCATAGAACATGTCATTGTGTACAAATGATGCACTGTAGGTTGTCCCTGCAATGTCAGTAAATAACATATTGCACTGCATTGTTTTGCTGATCACCTAAATCAAGATTCGAGGTCAACTGATGTGGTTCCGTAAGATGTGTTTTGTGTCGTTTTATGTTCTGTATAAGGTAGTTTCGATTTCTTTTTCTTTCAATTCATCTTTTTGAATAAAATTCATTCATATACTAGTACACAGTAGAGTAGGTGCATACCTTTACCTAAGAGTAAGACCAATATTATAGTCAGTTCCATTCATATTTTTAACAAATATGTATATTATCTTGAGGCTTGAGGCTAATATGAGACGGGGATGGTCAGGCCTCTGTCTGGGTGATTCGTAGCTTGCTTGTAGTTAGATTGAATACTGTTCACATTACCTGGTCCTTTCTGAATTTATGACTACTTTTGTTTTGTGACAGATGCCCGTGAGATAGCCCAGAAGAGTGACGGGGACAGGGACTTGTTAGAACACAGACAGAGAGTACAGAACCTGCAGGATGACACCTCCCTCGCACTCAAGAAAAATGTCTACCAGAACTACATGCAGTTCATCGAGACAGCCAAGGAAATATCATGTCAGTACACTGACTATTGTGGCTTGAAAAATTGACTAAACAGTGCTTGATTACCTTCACCAAGAAGTTATGTTTTCAGTAGTGTTTGTCTGTCTGTGAACAGCATAACTCAAGAAGCTTTATATGCATTGTCATGAAACTTGGTAGGTGGGTAGGTCTTGATGAGACCTAGAAATGATTAGATTTTAGGCCCTCTGGTGACTTTCATTGGTACTGCAGCATAACTTTAATATCCCCTGATCTGGACATTCTAGGGTCACGAATTTTGGATGGTAGGTAACTCTTGGGAAGAAGTGACATTTTGGGAAGAAGTGAAATTTGAGCCCCCTAGTTTCTGTCAAATTTTTGGCAATACCCCACATGGGTCCAAAGCATTTTAGCTTTGAATATTTTGCTGAGTTCCTGTTAAAATTAAATCACTTAGTCTAGTACTGAGTATGTATATGAGTTTCAAGCTGAAATTGAAGTTGTTTGTTTGTTGCAGATGTTGAGAGTGAGATGTACCAGCTGTCCCACATCTTGACTGACCAGAAGACCATCATGAACAGTATGATGCAGATGTCAATCACTGACAAAGGTTGGGGACAGTTCTAGACAAAACTACATGTATAGACAGTTTACTGTAACTTTGGGATGTTCAATTACTGTCGATGTCATTCACCTTTACTTCACTTAACCTCTCAAGCAGAAAGAATAGACCATTTCCCTTTCTAATAATTTTTCTTAGACTTTTAACAACATGATTCTTTTGTACAGAAGAGGCCCCCAAAGAAAAGGAAACACCCAAAGAGAAGGAAGACAAGAAGAAAAACCTGAGCACACTTCTGGAGAAAGTTGAAGGATGTTCAGTAAGTAGTCAAATACTTTGGTTGTACTGTACGTACTGTGATTATGAAAATTCATTCATTCAGACATGTTTACAGTGTATCTATCTCATGCAATCCTTACACCTGGTTGAAGAACTGTACAGTAATACACTTCTCTAGTCAAGTTGATCTTTCACTTGTGAACAACATTGTTATTTATTTATTTATTTCTGTTTTATTTATACAGGGTAGAGACCTCAGTGCTATTTAAAACACTGCTTTTCAGGAATGCCCTGTACGTGACAACAAGTTACACATGAAAACAATGAAACCAACACATTAAACAATACATAAACTTACAAAACAACCAAGCGTCAAAACAAAATCGTTAACCGTAAATCAGTGTCATTAGGCCAAGGTCAGGAGGTAAGAGGTCAACAAGAGGTCAATGTGACAACATTGTTGCTATATTTGCAACTACATGTACATGTAAAATAAAATAGTATGTATGCAATATGCTTTCTGTGTTAACGTTGCAAGTGAGTGTCTGATTCAATAAAGGAAGATACCTCTGTTTCCTATCAGCATGTGACAGAAGTACCAGGCCGTTACCTGGTACACAGTGGAGGTCTGGTGGAGCTGGACCCAGACTCTCACACACAGATCCAGCGTGTTCACACCTTCCTCATGAACGACAGTCTCATGGTGGCCAGCTGGATAGCCAGCAGGTACGGCACTTGTCTGCTCTGTAGTTTCATCACAGTATTACAATTTATATGTCCTACTGTTGTATTTACTATGATTTGCCGTTCTTGTGTTCCTTTCAATGTATTGTTTTATATTTGTTAAGGTATGTTCTTGAGAACTTGAGTGCTTTTATAAGCACTTCTGCTTTTGTCCCCAATTCTCTTTAAACAAATATGAATAAAAAAGAAAAATTATTTTGTCATGGGTACATGTATCTCCACTCAACATTATGTTGTCGCATGGAGTAGTTTTTTGGCTTGTCAATATACATGTACACAATGCAGCATTGCCATATATCCTCACTGCTGATATATCTGTATTATGAGACTTGAAGGATGGAAGGATTAGGGTGGGGGAGAAGTCTGCCATCTCTGATTGCCTTGTTTTGTTTCTTTACTAGGTGTATGTATCTTGTGTTTTTCATGTTTTTTTCCAGACGAGGTCCAGTCCATTACAAGTTCCAGGCCCTGTATGAGTTAGACAGTTTGGCTGTGGTGAACATCAGGGATGCTGGGCGTAAGCAACACATTTCTACATCTTATGCTATTTTTCAGTAGCCTTTAGCTTTAGCACATGGCTATTTTCAGTATCAATACACTAACAATAGCTTCCCTGCCAAAATATCTGTCATATATGTATGTTCATCTTTCTCAACTGTGAATGCTTTTATCTTATTAATAAGACCTGCAGCTGTCTACTCTAGTGTTGTCATGTTGGTGTTGTTACAGTGTGAATGATATTTCATTTTCATAAGATGTTTCTTTCTTTTCTATTGGACCTAGCGATGAAGAATTCCTTTAAGGTGCTGATGTTCCCAGACTGTAGAGTCTTCCAGGCTGAGAGCCCCAAAGCCAAGGTCAGAAGACAAAAAAACTTCCTTTGTTTTTAAGGAAATAGATTTAAGAACGCAGACAAAGTGTATGATTAGGAGGTAGTATGGTGGAATGCTCAAAAATAGTAACTGTGGTTTACTGATGTTTATTGTGGTTCAAACTCTCCTTATACTCCTTAGCTATATACAGATACAGATACAGATATGTGACAACTTATGGGTAGGCAGAATATTAGAGTAGAATATATAGTACCCATAAGTGACAACTTATGGGTTGGCAGAATAGTAATAAAATTCCTCTATCTAGTCTATGATATAACACAAAACACTATAGTGTTGCACTAAAGGTACATGATGCAGTAGAAAATTGTGGGAAGGACTTCTGATGAGTAGTTTATACTGAGGCATATACAGAAAGTAAATGAGGAGGAGGGTTAACCCTTACCTGTGATGACCTCTGACCAGAGAGAATGGCTGGACAGTTTGGACCAGGCCAAGAAGAGTAAAGCTGCGGCTGACAGCCAGAAGAAAGAAGCACAAGTCAAGGACGATTCAGCAGGAGACAGCTTTGACAGAAGTAACCGTAAGTTGACTAATAACATTTGGTCAAATATAAAGTCATTTGGGTTGCAGGGTACAAAATGTAAAGCGCATTTCATGTCAATTATTATGAAAATGTGATATGAAAAACCCTGTACAATGTACATCGATGAAGGTTAGACATCCAGGTAATACGATATGCCAAAAAGCAGTTACTCAAGTAACTGGATATGATTTTGTTTCCTGTATGTGTTTATAAGGTGTTTAGACAAATGTTACCTTTTTTTGAAATACACTGTACATGGAAATACTTTTAAATTACTTCAAATACACTATGTCATGTATCATGGTCACAAGGTAAAATAAAAGACTGATGGTTGCACTTTTTTTTTGTTTCCAGCATTTGCTGATAATGATGAAGAAGACCAAGACTTGCCTCTGGTAGGTTTACAAGTTTGGTTTTTCTCTTCAGTAGCAAAACAGGAAGCATTTTTTACTTAGTAAAAAGAAAATTAACATGTCTCACTGTATGGTACATTAGATATATGTGTCAACCATCACTTGAAGTTGAGACTAGCTTTTTAACTAATCTGGAATATGAGGGTTCATTCAGCAATGATGAATGTGGAGTAGAGGGCCTTGACTGTGCTAAAGACAGGAGTGAAAAATAGTTGTAACAACATCATTTGTTTTCCAATACAACATGTAGGTATGATGCCTTTCAATTTGTTTAACAATAAACATACACCATACAAAACATTATGACGATTATGACGTTACATCTAAACATTTACCACTGAGCAAAAACACTTTGTATCTTTGCACATTTTTGTTGCAAACCTCTAGCACATATTTGTAGATGTATTAGAGTAGATAATTTGCTTATCTTTCCGCTTTCAGCTCTCTGCTGTGCTATTAGTATGTACTTGTGGTGTGTTTTGTTAGATAAAAGCTGTGCACCTTTTACCAAATATGAATCTTTTTTCACGTTTTGCTCTACTCCTGCCTAGCCCCCACACATAAAGAGGTGGATCGCTGTAAGTTGGACATCTTGTGTGAGATGTGCATGGAATGCTACAGGCTCCTATAGCCATCATTTCCATTAACAACAACCCCCCCCCCTACCCACTATTGCATCAGGGGTGTGCTCAAATAGAGGAGCACCCCCCACCCTCTAATGCATTTTTGTGCATGAACATGCTAGAAACATCATTGTGGCAGAGCCAACTTTGAATTCTGACTATTGCATGGAACAGCAATATGTATGCTTTATTACCAATGGAAGGCAATATTTTGTTGTGAGAATTTTGAATAGAACAACCTTACCTAATCTTTTTGAGTGCCCTTAAATCTGTTTTAAGTAACTTCCTTTTCTTCCCATGTTTGATGTGATACTTTTGTAACAGGGTGTGATACAGGTAATATAACATGAGAGCCAGTGGTGGAAATCTCTTCTACCATTTTAGGCCACGCCAATTTAATTTCTTGGTTAACGGATTTTTCTAGAAAAATAATGGAGCGGGCGGGCGAAAAAAAATAAAAAAATAAAAACAGGCCTAGGCATCCTATTATGGCCCAAAATGGTACGATAGGAGCCATGAAGTCAACACACCAGGCTGGTTCAAAATTTAAACAATGAATTTTGAACTTTTAATGATACCACTGCATTGAAAGATGGAATAACTGTAACAACTAGGATGAAAAGGACTGTTTTCAACTGTTCAGGGCAAAATATGAGCATTTTGCAGTTGATTCTGAATTTTTCTTTTATTTGCAAATCAGAAAAAAATGAAGCGGGCGAATCCATTAACCAAGAAATTGAATTGGTGTGGCCTTAGATACAAATGTACAGTGTGTGTGTCAGACTTGCTGTGTAAAAAGGCTGGTGAAGAAACAAAATTTTATTGACAGTGGCAGCCTTAGCCTATTAAGGAAAGACTTAAACTATGAATTTGTTGTCAAAGACAACACAAAACTTCTTTTTTTCAGATTTCACTCACAAACACTTCTTGGACAAGTAATAATGTATTTTTTCACTTGCAATAAGTGTACAAAAGGCCACAATTTGTCAGTTGCAACGTTGATAAAAAATCCTATTCAGCTATACTTTTATCCCAGAATCTTTATGGTTTCTGAATAAAGCAATCACATTCTTCTCTCCATTGCCATTTTATATTAACATCTGTGTCCATAATATCACCAGGGTCCATAATACCGCCACCTTAAGGGGAAAAGTGTGCTTAAAGATATTTTTACTGCAACATACCCTAGGTATGTACATTTGAGGTGTGCAGGAGTGCATACCAGAAGTATGTTGCAGTAAAAATATCTTAAAGCACACTGTTTCTCAAGGTGGCAATATTATGGACCCTGGTGATATTATGGACACAGATGTTATATATGTTGCTCAGAATTTATAATTTTGTGTGTATTTATTGCAGCAAAGTGCAGAGGAAATGTTACGAGTAGACTGGATACAAGAGTTACCTGAGGATCTGGATGTGTGTATCGCACAGAGGGACTTCGAGGGAGCAGTTGATCTTATTGATAAGTGTATGTACCTTATCATTAATAGCATCATGATATAGAAATTTGCACTGTATGTCTCGGTGCCAATTTTGAATGATTTGTGCTTTTGAAATACTCATGTGTCACATGTGTACTTGTCTCAAGTTCTTGCAAAAATTAGAAGAGCTGCTAGAAGGAGCTTTTGAGCTGCAGATATCATATTTTAGGGACAATTGGACATATGAACAGATACTGACAAATTGTGCTATGGGAATTACATTTTATGTCTTTTCTTGCAGGTAATGAATACCTAGAAGAGGTCCCACAATCACCAGCACTTAAAGAATACAGGTACCCTTTTTGTGGTATTTTGTGTGAGAAACAAACAGATAACTAGAGTTCCACGATCTCATACCTTCGCCAAATGATGTTAGCTTTTATGAATAAGAAATTATATATTAATCCCCCTAATTATGGAAATAGGATCCTCAATTGCATGAATTATATCTGTTGATCATATTCTCCACCAAAAGACAGTCTTATCTTAACAAAGAATGCCATTATGGCATTTCCTCATAAATTATGCAAATGAGGTCCTTATTTGAATAAGTTATGTTTAATTATGTTCACCTTCACTTAACTTTCAAACACCCCAAGTATAAAATTCCAGGCAGTTACCACTATGCAATTATAATATTTTCTCATTAATTATGCAAATTAAGTCTTCATTTGCATAATAGATATCTGCCTGTGTTTCTCTCATTCTTAATAACATGTCATAAGCTTGAACTTCCTATTATGGAATGCAGCTGATAAATAGAATTTCCTCATTAATTATGCAAATTACATCCATATTTGCATAATTGTAATATCATTATGTCAAGCATCACTCAAGCTACCTACACACCAAAAATCACGATGATCTGTCAACCGGTTCTTGAGTTATCCTCCTTTAAACATTTGTCCATTAAACCCCCCTGCAGTTCTAGAGCAAGCAACTAGGGGGCTCAAACTCATGTCACTCCATCCCCAGCACAAGAGCTATCTACCATCTAAATTTCATTACCCTAGCATGTCTGGATCATGAGATATCAAAACCGGAAGTTCTGCTGCAGTACCATGACAAGCCGCCAGGTGGCCCAAAATCTAATCATTTTGAGGTCTCATCAAGACCTACTCACCTACCAAGTATCAAGACAATCCATCAAGACCTTCTCAAGTTATCGTGTTTACAGACACACACACACATACACGAACGCCCCTGAAAACATAACCTTCTTGGCGAAGGTAATTATAATTATAAGGGCAGAAAGCTCACTGGGAGGGGGGGGGTCAAATTGGGCTTGTTGTACAGCAAGATGTGGTTGGAAAATTGGCACAAAAAAAGTCTTAAGGCAAAAAAAGTGTTCAAGGTAATCTGAACATACATGTTCTTAACTGAAAAAATTGAAAAGCTTAAAAATCTGTACTGGCATTTTCCAACAGTCGTTTTTCCTAGTTCATCAACAACCGCAAAAAACCAACTGTTTAAACATATGTACTGTATGTTGTTCTGTTGCTGCAGAGCTCGTGTGGACCAGAGAATCAAACACCTGACGGAGGTGCTGCAGCATGAGCTGCAGGGGCTGCAGGGTGGACCCAAGGCTGCCAGACGGGCCGTACTGCAGCTCATCAAGCTGGGCAAGTCTACTCAGGTCAGGCCAGGGGGTAAACATTATCATAACAACACAACTGTTTACAATAACATTGTGTCATGAAAATTCATCTGTGTTGGTGGTTACATGTTTAAGGTTAAAACTTCCAACACAAAAGTTTGTTCTCACCTAGACCTTTCAACCAGTCATTCTGGTCTTCTTCAGTGGACTGACCCAGTGACTGCATGGCTTCTCTGAAGTGTGACATCAACACTTGGTAAACTACTTCCTGAGAGGGGTGAAAGAGGTTATTTACATCAGGGCCTTTCACTCAACCGCGACGGGGGCCAACGTCGTTTACCAGACACCTTTGACCCAGTGTTGACATCACACTTCAGAGGAACCATGTGACAAGTTTCACTGGGTCAGTCCATTGAAGAAGACCAGAGTGACTGGTCAAAAACTTTAGCTGAGTTGTTATGTTTTGTTATGTTATGTTGTACTTTCTTTACCACAATTGGTAACCTACTTTGGAGTACTCATTACTTCTGTTTTCCGGTACTACCAGGCGTGTGACTTGTTCCTGAGGAACCGGACCATGGCAATCAAGCGGTCCCTGCGCCAGCTGAAGATGGAAGGTTCCACCACGCTGTACGTGAACAAGCTGTGTTATGTGTTCTTCACCACCATGCTGGAGGTCGGCAGGGAGTTCCAGAAGGATTTCTCCTCCAACAACGGCTGCTGTTCAGGTGGGAAAAACATGGGTTCACCAGTAAAGGCATCCAATGCAATTTCAGGGCAGCAACACAAAAAAGGATTCTGGATGAGCAAATCTGTGTGATATTGACATTTACTGCCATTTCTTGACACATTTTTTTCAATATTTCATACTTCTTCTCAAGTCACCACTTAAAAAAGCTCTTAAGAAATATCCATAAAACAAGCTACAGTATGTGAGGAGTCCTTTTATTTTTGATACCACCAATAAGTAGCAAGAACCAGCCTACAATGCAAAACAAGCAACCTTTTTTCTGTCAGAACACATGTATTTCAGTCTCCTATTTTCCAGCTTGTTGGTAAGAGGTACGGATTGCATTGTCAGATTCAACAGGTTCATTCTTGATTCAATACATGCAACAGTAGAATAGAAAAATTACTTCTTAATGTGCGATTTTGTATTCCTTAATTCCTGAAACATACATTACTTACCCAAGACATTGATGTAAGATTGATGATTTCTTGTTTTGACCACAGCTTTTGTGGTGTGGGCTAAGCTGGAGCTGGAGACTTTTGTGGGAATGTTTGCCCGTCAGGTCTTCTCCTCCAAAACCAGCCTGTCCATGGTGGCAGAGTGTGTGGAGATGGCTCAGCAGTACTGTGACAAGGTAACACACCTCAGCACATTCTCATAAACATACTGTATTTGCTGGGTACCATGTTCTCTTGGCATAACAATAATAATGATAATAATAATAATAATAAATGGTTTTTATTGTCCAAACAGTACCCGTGCAGTCGCAGCCTGTATACGGCTGAATTGATGCAGGGTATTACATAATCAAGACAAATCACAACAATCAAATAATACACTTGATACACATATTTGTTCCACAAATTATTGTGGAACTGTCGCAAGGGTCTATACGGCAGCCATTCGGCGCCAGGTGACCTCAATACGACTTTCCCCAACCGAAGTTAGGTACCCATTCACACCTGGGTGGAGTGAGGAAAGTCGTGTAAAGTGCCTTTCCCAAGGGCACAACGTCGGGGCGCATGTTCAGACATGCCCCAGGTACGACTCGGAATCGAACTCAAGTCTCCTGGTTCGTAGTCGATCGCTCTAACCACTACACCACCCGACGCCACAATGGTTGGCACATTGTATCAGGTCAACATCGGTAAAATGGATGTTACACCATGAGATTTAGAAGCATATCCATTATGATTGAAGATTTATTTGCATTTTGAGAAAAACAAGAATGACCACTACAGCTGCATATTGAATCCTTTTTTTTTTTCTTGCACGTGATGGGATCAGCATGTAGGCAATAGATATATCTTGGAAGACCTCTTTAGAAAAGTTTGGGAAGGAAATACCAGATAGTCCACACTACATATAGCTCACAAACATAAGCTTTTACACGGGTTGAACACTATCATTGGGAAGCATTGTTTCCTTATGTCTGTCAATAAGAATCTGCCTTATTTGGTTTTCCAGCTGTGTGAGATCGGGCTGGACTTGACCTTTGCCCTCCACTCCCTGCTAGTGAAGGATGTCCGTCGGGCAATGCATGATGGGAGAGATCAGATAGTGGAGGCCATCCGACATAGATCAATGGTAAGAACACACAACTTAAGCATGTTACTTGTACATGTATGATATCTATATGTACTGTCAATTACATGTAATGCTAGTCTTATTACACAAATTCTGAATTTCAGTGTAAACTATGAATTCCTCAGTGTAGGCATTTTAAGTCAACGTCACTTTGGTGTGTTTTTATAACCATCACTCATGTTGTGTTCTTTTCTTTGGAGAAGTAAAGAGCATCGCCATGACATGTTTTTAAGGCATTTGTCATGGTTGTCATTGGTCTTCATTCCCACATGAGGACTCATCTTGGCAAATGATGACCTGTATGGCTACTCAACTGTCGCATCGACAGAAGACTCCAACAACATGGTTGTATTCGATGTTGCCATGGTGTGTTTTTATAAACACCACTCATGTTGTGTTCTTTTCTTTGGAGATGTGGAGAGTGTGGCCACTGTGTGTTTTTAAGGCAGTTGTCATGGTGGTAGTCAACGTCGCCATGGTGTGTTTTTATCAACACCACTCTTGTTGTGTTTCTTCAGAAGGAGAAATAAAGAGCATCACTATGACGTCTTTTTAAGGCATTTGTCGTGGTTGTACTTGTAGTCAACACTTTTTTTATGACCATCACTCATGTTGTGTTCCTTTCTTCGGAGAAGTGGCGAGTGTTGCCACTGTGTTATTTAAGACAGCTGTCATGGTTGTATTTGACGTCGCCATGGCGCATGGTGTGTTTTCTAACCACCAATCTTGTTGTGTTCCTTTATAAAGGAGGTGAAGTGTAGTGTCGCCAGTGTGTGTTTTTAAGGCAGTTGTCATGGTGGTAGTCAACGTCGCCATGGTGTGTTTTTCTGACCACCACTCTTGATTTGTTGTGTTCCTTCAGGAGGAGAAGTGGAGAGCATCGCCATGACATTTTATAAAACTATTTGTCACGTCACGATAAACTGGATAGTGAGTGAGTGAGTGAGTGAGTGAGTGAGTGAGTGAGTGAGTGAGTGAGTGAGTGAGTGAGTGAGTGAGTGAGTGAGTGAGTGAGTGAGTGTAGTCTACGTCGCCATGGTGTGTTTTTCTTACCACCACTCTTGTTGTGTTCCTGTAGGAGGAGAAATGAAGAGCACGTCCATGACATGTTTTTTTAAGGCAGTTGTCATTGTGGTAGTCAACGTCGCCATGGTGTGTTTTTCTAAACACCACTCTTGTTGTGTTCCCTCAGGAGGAGAAGTGGAGAGCGTATAACCTGCAGACTCCCCAGGCCTGCAGGACGGTGGTGAAGGAGATGGAGGACCTGGGACTCTCCAACTTCAAGTCTCTCATGTACGACGACTGTTGGATCAAACTCACCCCCAACATGGTCAACTACACCAAACAGTTACTCCAGTTCCTGGACCAGTGTCTCAAGTTATACCAACCTGAGGTAAGACCACATCAATTTAATTTCTTGGTTAACGGATTTTTCTAGAAAAATAATGGAGCGGGCGGGTGAAAAAAATAAAAAATAAAAACAGGCCTAGGCATCCTATTATGGCCCAAAATGGTACGATAGGAGCCATGAAGTCAACACACCAGGCTGGTTCAAAATTTAAACAATAAATTTTGAACTTTTAATGATACCATTGCATTGAAAGATGGAATAACTGTAACAACTAGGATGAACAGGACTGTTTTAAACTGTTGAGGGCAAAATATGAGCATTTTGCAGTTGATTCTGAATTTTTATTTTTATTTGCAAATCAGAAAAAAATGAAGTGGGCGAATCCGTTAACCAAGAAATTAAATTAGTGTGGCCTAAAGATGTGTCTGTGTGTGTGTGTGTGTGGTGGCTTTGAGGGAAGAAATTTCTTGATCTTTCAAGAGAACAATGTTAAAAAGAAAATAATATTTTATGCAATATGATTTGCCTGAAATTTAACAAATTAATCAAACAGGTATGTTAGCTTTTATTTTGAAGTAGTTAAATAAAAAAACTGTTTTATTGCATTTTACTTAGGCAATACATACATACAAATGAACAGAAGTAGAAAACAAGAACAGATATGCACGTAAACCACAAATCCAAAGATATACTGCAATGGATGAAACAAATATATAACAAATAGAAAAATGAATATCGGTTAAGGAAACAATACAAATTGTAGAAAAGAACACAAATGGCAAATCAATTGAACAAATAACGTACAGAAATGAATTCAAAATAATTGTACAGAATGTTATCCAAATAACAAGGTATACAGAGCAAAATAGTTATTTGTTGTTGTTGTTTTTGTTGTGCCCTTCCCAGTTACACATGGTCCTGGTAGAAAACGTGATGATGATTATACGCTGTGTGGGGAAGCAGATGGAGACAGCGCTCACAGCCAAGGAGTACACCAAGAATCACCCCTTCATTCTGAGGAACTCCAGCTTTGTCTTCGAGACTGTCGTGCAACGTATAGAGAGAAGGTTCCAGGTAGGTTTCATAATGTCTGTGCTGTTGTGAAAATAGGCTGAGACCAGACAGTGTTTCTTTGATTGAGTCTGGGAATTTCTATTGAAATTCTGGAGAAAAACCATTGCTTATAAGATACATATACATTTGTACCACCATTTTTGCACCCTGCCAGGATTTCAGCTTTATAGATTAGCTGATGAAAAATGATTGACTGATTATTTTGATGGTGTGGCCCTTGCAAAGTTATTGAAAGCAGTTAGCTGTAATACCAAAACCAGTCACTAGATGGCAATGCTATCATGCAACACATTGAATTTTTACCAGTCTGACTGCAAGTCCACCATGTCTATGTTGACAGGAACATGTAGGAAAGCCAGCTAAGCAGTTCCAGGAGCTGAAGACTGACTATGCCAAGCTGAGATCACTGGCAAGAACACCAACTACTGAGCTGTAAAAAATCTTTCCTTATCCATTCATGTACCTACTCAACTACAGGGACACATCTAGAGATTATGGCATTGTCAGCCTACATTGTATATAGTTTCAGTAAGCTCAGTCCTCTATGAAAATTTTTACATAGCCATGTTGCTTTAACCATTGCTTCAAGGACTATGTAATCATGGTCCTGTTTTCGGTTTGTCTCCAAAGTCTGCAAAATTGCTACTAGCAAATACAGTATATGCCTAGCCACCAAATCTATTGTATTATTTCATAAATGATTCAGAATGTTTAAGGTTAAATTAAAGTATACATCGCAAAACTTTTTTGTTGAAAATCTGGAAAAGACTGTAGAGGTGTAATTTTAATGTCTGTTATTATAGCCTCTCCATAATGTTAGTGCAATATATATGACCACGATTCAGCTGAAAAAAATGTTCATCTATACTAGTATCTACAAACACACATATCAACACACACACACACACATACCATTGCACAGACACACACACTTAAACACACACACATGTACACATACACACACACATGCTTTGAAATGATGAATAAAGCACTCCACAGTGTTTGTAAAGAAAATGTTTTATTCCTGACAGCAGCATACTGTGTGACATCATCGCAGTTCTGACAGTTTGGGCATCTGAGACAACAGCCATCAGATCACCTTTGACCCCTAGTAATACATGTAATGTTTCACCAAAAAAATCTTCATCTCAAGTTTATGTCTACATTAAAGTTAAACAGTACTGCAATTTCGAACAGTATAAACTATTTACCGGTAGGTTCCTTCTTGCTAATAACTTACATGATGTCAACAAAACAAATCCCTTGTTTTACTTTCTAACCTACATGTACGTGACTGTGATTTAGCTTTGCCCCTCAGTTTCTACACTTATCAGAGGATACAAGGTGAATACAGAATTTTGTTCTTTGTCATTTAGGTACATTAAGCTCAGGCTCTGATAGAATTTCAAGCTCGGATGATAATGCTGACACCCTTGTCTGCTTCCCTGATAATTTTACTACAATACAAGTTCGTGTACAAGGATTTTTCAGGACACACTGATGTTGCTATAACAGAGACATGCATGTTGCTATAAGCTATCCAGGTCTCAATTATACAAAAGTATGCATAACTGTTACTGTATCAGACAAAGATGGGGGCGGAATAAATACATTCTAACTCAAAATGTGTTGACAGGAATTATGTATTATCATTGTACCTCAACCTGCTAACTGCTGCCTTACCTCATAACCAATACAGATTTAGTGTCATATGGCTACATGTGGCTCAGCTGACTGTTTGAAAAGTTATGGCAAGCCAGTACTAAAGACCAGAGGGACATACAAATATAATACGGTAATACTAGTAGAATTCATTGATACACAGATTGTCCAAGCCTTACTTTGATTGCTAACAATTTTTCCCTACATGCATTTTCCATCACAGATCCTTTACCTCAAGACATATTAAATTTCAGCTTCTAAAGAAGTAGAGTACTCTACAAGGGATACTATAATGGTGAAGGATTCGACTTCTAAGTTGGTACTTTGCACAATTTTTGCTGTTCCCAAAGGCAGTATTCATGAACTGTGATCGTAAATGTTGCAGAGTAAAAAAATTAAAGTGTGAAATTTAGGTGCAGTCATCATCACTCAGAAAATTAATTAATATGGACAACTTCCAAAGTATCTATGGACTAAGTAACTTCCCAGTACCAACACGAGAAGTTAACTGTACAACATTTGTAACATCGAGTCACACATCTGGAACATATGATATAGTGGAATGATCAACTGTTAACAATTTTTCAACCATTTGAACTAAAATTTACATCCATTCTTTGCTATGGTATACATAACACAACACAGATTATATATGTCCAAATAACCTTGGTCCAAACAAACTTGATACACCATATATGATATGAAATTTATGACATCAATTTATGACATACAAAAGCTTGCTATGAAGCTATATGCTTTATTCTAGTTTGTCATGAAAAAAAAACTTGCACATTTATTCAATGTGTGTATTGGTCTACATGTTAATCACCAAACGTCATACCAGGGTGGATACAACAATCCAGAAAACGTGTGAACATAATTTCTCCAGCAACTTCTACTCTAAAAGTCAAATGCATAACAGAAAACCATCAATACACCTGTCAACATGTCAAGGGTGTTTACAGTTTAGAATGTTTACATCTTGTCACCGTGGTAACCCTACATGGGTAGTAAATGGTCGTCTCTTTCGTCATCATCGTCCAGTCCTAGCTGGTCGTCCCCGATGCCCTTGTACGTTCTGGGAGGTCCCGCCTCCCGTGTCCGACACACCAACTCACAACCATCCTTGGGTGGAAAACAGAACACTGTTAATAACCAGGGCTCAAAATACTGGGTGCATGTGCACCTTAGTGCACCCAAATATTATTCTGTGGGTGCACTGGTGCACCCAAATATTTTTGTAGGTATTTTTGTATATATTAAATGTATTATAATATGCAGGATATTCATGGCATCTAATAAGTGTCAGAAAATATCAAAATCTTTGTTGTAATACTTAAGATTTTAAAGTTTGCTCACATTTCAGATTCAAGCTCAGAAGAGGAGCAGTAAGATCTCCAAAAAAATTTTTGTGCACCTAATTTTTTAGGTTGGGTGCACCAGTGCACCTATTCCCAAGAATGAATTTCGGGCCCTGATAACTAGAGATACAACTTTCAGAATTGCACATGTTCACAATTACTTAAGATCAGAGAATCATTTTGTGAAATATAATACTGACTTATAATGTTGTCATACAGTAGTAAGTCAAGAAGTATGCAGGATATACCAGGGGTAGTTACCATAAAATATGGCAATCAATATCAAAAACATACTATTTACTGGTATGTCTATGAAGGTTAGACAGCCAGGTAATAAGATAAAAAAACAGTTATTCAAGCAGCTGGATATGATTTTTGGAAACGATTATTAACCAGTGTAACTGACGAAAATCATATCCAGTTGCTTGAGTAACTTTTTTCTTGTGCATATACTATTTACTGGGTCTAAATACTTACTAACATTTTTTGAGTGAAAAATGTTTGAATCAACTTAGCAAGAAAATTGCAAAGTTTCTTACAGCCTGCAAGTTGCCGAAGTCTTTCCAGAAGCTGAAGTGAGGGATCTGCTCCATTCCTTTGGCCCCAACCACAAAACGCTGGTACAGGAACCCAAACAGGAAGTAACAGCCGACAACAACCACGAATCTGGGAACAAAACATTGATCTGTTTACATCTCAGCATCACCATTCTTACTACTATTATAGGAGTGAAGCTTTGAACTGTTTACATATAACAATGTTAACATCTAAGCATGGAAATACTGTAGAACAGAACCACTAAAATAGCAAATAGAACAACTCTCGGAAATGAGTTTGTAAGTGAACACTTTGATATCATATTTTAAACTTTTACAAAGAATTGAGAACATTTCTGTACAACAACAACTCAAGTTGATAGCATGTGTAACAAAAAAGGTCAATCCAAAATTTAAAAAATCAAAGTATGTGCATATGTAATGCACATGTTATAGACATTTTTACATCAGTCTCCAGATTGTGGCTTTGTGTTTTAACAAATAGTTTGCATATAAATAATGAAATTTATATTTTAAAACCCAAAGCCCTGTCCTAAAAGCCCCTTTGCAATTGTGGATGAGGCAATATTGAGTAAAATTTACTGATTGTAATATTGTTGAGTACTCACATAAGAACCAGTACTGAGCCCACACTCAGACCACCAGGTATGGAAGACTTGGAAGAACAGACCACATTGCTATAGAGTTCAAACAAGTAGTAACAATCCTCATCATTTTTCCTGGTGTGTTCTTCAATAAGACCCATGCTCCCCTGTAGATAGAAAATATGTGGTTGAAGAAGAACTTGTACAGAAAGTATGATATAAACTAGAGAAGTAACATTTGCAAAACAAATGCATAATGTTTACCTTCGGACATGGTCTGCTCTGTTAATTCTTAAGCAAACACATTCACATACATGCACTACTAGTATATGGTGAGCAGAGCAGACCATGAAATTGCAACATTATGTAACCCAACACCAGTCACCATGGTGACAAACGTCAACAAATCATGTCATTGGTCAGGTCAGAGGTCACTGTTTGGAGAAGAAGAAGAGGAAGAAACTGAGCAAAAACAATATGTTTTCCTTCAGTAAACATAAAAATTACACATTAACTCAAAGCACACAATAAAAGATATACTGTTTGTAGTTGTACACTACACTGAAGTATTTCTTGGATACCTTAATTACATTTCCAATTTGGTCCTTTTCAATTTGTTACGTAGCATTGGCATTTGCATAAAACTTATCAAAAGGGACATTTCAGCCATTATAGATATTTGCTCAGTCACAACCCACTTACCTCTACCGTAGATGAGTCACATAATATCATGATGACAGACGTCCTTTCTAGATGATTACAGTGACTGTGGTAGTTGTCTCCTCCACGATACTCTAACATCATCCAATTGGCTAGTAAAGATGATGACACAAGTCAACATTGGTCAAAATCACACCACAAAAAGAGGTTTCATTCAGAGGATAATCATTTGAATGTTGTGAACTGATCTCACTTGGTAATACAAATAAGGATGGCAATAACTCTGCAATAAAGTCTGTAGTAATCATGTCTGTTGAGAAGATTAATATAAAATATGACCATAATGCTTCTAGTAGAATACATGGATCAGTGGTTGGCAACCCTGCTTCTAGACCAGAAAATCATCCAGCTAGCAAGCTATTCAGGTTGCAGTCTTTTGGACAGGTTGTCCACTGATAATTTGTTATTGTCATATTTAGTAATTTGATACATATGGACATTAAATGGTCCTTTGTACATCATACATATGCTACAGTGCTTTCAGGGCTCGAAATACTGGGTGCAATTGTGCACCTAATTAGTGCACCCAAAATTGGAACTGTGCACCCAATTTTTTTCTGTGGGTGCAATTTTTGTTCGTATTTTGTACATATCAAATGTATAATAGTATGCAGGATATTCTTGGCATCTAAGTGTCAGAAAAATAATAAAATCTTTGTTGTAGTACTTGTTTAAGATTTTGAAGTTAACTCCAATTTCAGATGCAAGCTCAGAAGAGAAGCAGTAAGATCTGTAATTATGTTTTGTTTTATATGGTGCACCCAAAAATTTTTTGTACACCTAATTTTTTAGGTTGGGTGCACCAATGCACCTATTCCCAAAAATGAATTTCGACCCCTGCTTTCAATTAGAACAGTATGTGGGTGAACAGCCTTCTAGAACTAAAACTGGATCTTTTTCCTTCCCTTCAGTAAAAAACTACATGTACCAAAATATAAGAGCAGAGTACACTTACTGCCTGCCTTTATGTTGACTTTACTGATCTTGCCCAGTGAGTGTTCAGTGCCATTCTTGTCCACCTGTATAATGCCAGCATCTGCCTTGGATTTGGACTGTACAGGGTTACAGATCCTGGCCTTGTAGTCATATTGGTAGGGATTGTCCTTGAATGTGAACCTGTGAGGGGAGGGGGAAATTATCATCATTGATGACAAACGTTTGCGTCTGGTTTACATGATACTACCTTAGTCTGAAGTGATTTATGTCACTATAACAGTTAACACTAGATACAAACAGTGCATACACAGTTATTAGTAACATAGGTAAGAGTCAGAACTTCTCTTTTTACTATCTTCAATGCAAAACGTTACAACAACATCATACCACCATACATATGGCACAACAGAAAAAGAATAAAAAGGATGTCCCAGAAATACTTTCTAATTTATTCCAGTAACTCCACCTTACTTCACTTTCACAAAGTTACAGCAAGATTTAAGTTATTTTTCAACAACCATTTTCTTCTTTACACAAAAATGGGCCTTTCCTGACTACACAATTTGAAGTGTTGCTAGCTAGGGGAAAAGTCATTATCTTTTTCTGCATGTCTACAATACATCAACCTACAGTACACAGCAGGCACTGTATCTCATTATACAACTTACAAGACCTGTGTGATCAACTGGGATTTGTTGACATAACAACTAAACAAGCAATCAGCTAACATCAGCTTTTATTAGTCAATGTTTTATCATCAAAAATTTACCAATTGCATTCAACACATCCAATCATTTGTAAGCAACACACTGAAATATTATGTCTGAAACATTGTGCAACTTTTGGTTTTGATCTCAAGCCCCTATTTGAATTGTAATTTTAATGTTACATTGTTTGTTTTTCGATGTTGTGATTGCAACAAGATAAATGCACGTGGCAAGGGGCGTGTCACGTGTGTTACACTTCAGTATAATCACTATGCATTAGTACTACTTTACATAGTTGAATTTAAATAGCATTACATAATTAATTTGGACCATGTATAATTTAAACCAAAGTTGCCACGTTTTTACCTTTGCAAATTTGACGAGTCTAAAAGTTTTGAAGAGATACCATTACTTTTACATGATCATGCACTTGGGATAATAAAATGAAAATTAAAACTCATGTATACTCATAATTCATAAGAGTTCCAAAACAAATTGGTTGTAGAAAGAAGTTAGTAACTTACAGCTGATTTGCCTTAGTAAGGGGGGCAAGTCTCTCCAACAATTTCTTCTCCTTGTCCTGCAGCTCTTCCGTCGAGTCAATAGTACAGTCCCCCGCTATTCTGGCCACTAAACTGGCCGCTGCGAAAAGCGCTACCACGTACTGCATGTTTGGTCCTGAATAAATACGAACCTAAGACGCTTAAAGCTAAGTTGTAGGTGAAAACACGAGCCAAGTTGCACCCATGTGGATCGCTAACCAAGGCGGAAGTGCCTCAACATCACGGAAGAGTCATGTGATTGATGCATCATAAGAGCCACTCATCTGGTCTCTGATTGGTCCGTGTGTACCTGTACAGGTGAGAGAAATGTGCTCTTTAAAACCAGAAAATTCGTTACCTGAACATTTTTATCCCACACATCTAATCATAGGGATAGAATAAATTGATTGAAATGCACTGATATATTCACATTGACTAAAGTCGGCTCAAATGTAGAGTAAAAGTGAAACTTTTTTAAAATTTCTTTAACCAATGAGAGAGCAGGTTACATCTTGCAGCATAGATACTTCCCGTCATGCACATCGAAACCAACACTATTTCCTCTCGTTGAAATCTCGCGAGAGTTGGTGCGAGAATCGGACATACTTTTCCGAATCAGTGAGCGGAGGCGTCAAAATAATGACGGGCTCCATGGAGAAGCAAACATTCGCTTGAATCTCACAAAAATTCACGGCTGCTCGCACTCTCTTGAGGATCCGGCGAGTTAAAGATCCCGTGGATGACCTGGAAGGTGTTTTAAGGCTGCTTCTTGGATCGGATCCGGCAAAAATGCTATGACAACAGGACGCAACGTTACGGAAAAGTTTGCCGGTGAGCTATCGATCTGACATTCACAGGTGGTTCAAAATCAAGCAAGTTTCCAACTTTTAGCTCAAACTCGTCACTCCAGTGACAATCAGAAGTTGTGAACACGATCACAATGGCTTCAGAAGCAGTAAAGGTAATTGTTCGATGTCGTCCGCTGAACGAGCGAGAGAAGAACTTGAACTGTGACGTTGTGATCTCTATGGAAGGCGGGATTCAATGCGGCATCATCAAGCCCGACAGGCAAGACGAACCGCCAAAACTCTTCACCTTCGACGGCTCCTACGACATGGTGTCAACCACGGAGAAAATCTACGACGATGTGGCTTACCCTTTGGTGGAGAGTGTGGTGGAGGGATACAACGGAACTGTGTTTGCATACGGCCAAACGGGATGTGGCAAGTCTTTCACCATGCAAGGTATTGAGGAACCAGCCACTCAAAGAGGCATCATCCCCAGAGCATTTGAACACATCTTTGAAAGCATCGCTGTAGCAGAGGACACGAAATATCTCGTACATGCCTCGTACTTGGAGATCTACAACGAGGAAATCCGAGATTTGCTCGGAAAGGACCACAAGCAGAAGCTGGAGTTAAAAGAACACCCGGATCGCGGAGTGTACGTTAAGGATTTATCGAAGCACTCTGTTCACAACGTTCCAGAGTGCGAAAGGATCATGGAGATGGGGTGGAAGAATCGATCGGTCGGCGCGACCCTCATGAACGCTGACTCCTCGCGCTCCCACTCTATCTTCACGATCTTTCTCGAGATGTGTTCGACGGACAAGGAGGGCGAGACGCACTTGCGTGCCGGGAAACTGAATCTCGTGGACTTGGCGGGAAGCGAGCGACAGGCCAAGACAGGTGCAACAGGTGACCGGCTGAAGGAGGCCACCAAAATTAACCTCTCGCTCTCCGCACTCGGTAACGTTATATCGGCGCTGGTAGACGGGAAGTCCAAACACATCCCGTATCGTGATTCCAAACTCACGCGACTGCTTCAGGACTCCCTCGGCGGGAATACCAAGACGCTCATGATAGCGTGTCTGTCTCCTGCAGACAATAACTACGACGAAACCTTGAGTACGCTAAGATACGCGAATCGGGCAAAGAACATCAAGAACAAGCCGAGAATCAATGAAGATCCCAAAGATGCTCTTCTCAGAGAGTACCAGGAAGAGATTCAGCGGCTGAAGGCCATGTTAGCAGCCAAAGGTATCACATCTGGCCAGCCTGGACAAGGTATAAACTAGATTAACAACATTTGAGTTTTTACTAGATTCTGTTCCTGATATGTTGATGGATAATACTGTTTCAATAGTACCACAATCATAGTCAGGGTTTGAAATACATACACACACACAACTCTTTTTCTCTGATTGCCAACTGGGCAACCTATGCCCAAGTAGGTTGATTTTTAACCTCCTTGCTATGCCAAAAGCTAGGTTGCCAAATTCTGCTCCAGGTTGTTGTAAGCCCAGCCACTGTAAACTTTAAAAAGCCTGCTTGGTATGCACAAAAAAATAGATAACTTGTGTGCCAGGTAACCTAGCACCTCCAATAATATAAGTCTTGCAGAGAAAACATGACATTGCGGTGAGAGTGGGTATTTTGGACCCAGTGCTGAATTAATCTTCATAACATCATGACTCTTTAAAATCTGTAGCACTTCGAAAAAATCGGAATAGGTCATGAGCACTTCCAAATGTCACAACACAAAAGCCATACACTTCTCTTCACCCATGTCATTCATAGGGTAATTTTTTTGTTACAAAGCTCTGAAGAGAATTACACTCAAGGCTTAATTCTTGGAGCTTTCAGAAACCTGGAATTCTTAGGTTACAGTTTTCCCTTTCTGTTTGCCAAAGCTTCCATGGTTTAGTCTGGGTGGTCAGTAACACAGGATTACTGAAGTAATGATGTGTAAATTTTGGGTGACTAAGATCATTAGCTGTACAATACTTTAGGATTTCATACCGGTAAAAATGGTTCCCAGCAAACCATTTCAAAATGTGAATTCTTTATAAATCTATAGGCTAAAGGTTTCTTTCTTCTTTATTCGGGGTGTCACAGTGCGAGGATCACTTTCTGTGGTTTTCCGCCTTAATTATGCATGAGCTGCCTTCGTGACAAGGTTGTTTGAACAAGTATGTTATGTCGCTGGCCCCTTTCACCTGAAGAGCCCATGGTTGTCACTGGTTGCCATGCCAACCATTGATCTGTCCAGTCAGGCAGAAGTGGGGTCAGTGGACCGTACCAATTTGAGTCTTTTGTGGGTAAGGTTTCGACGCCCTGAATTCAAAACCATAACTTGTTGAAAGGAAAAGAAGGCAAGAGAACATAGATCGCCTTGTTCTAAATCTTTTTTTTTCCAGAATATTTTCATGCTTGGAATGCATATAATTTTTTATTCTTACAAATTAGGACATTGTCAAGTTCCCTTGACCTGACATGGCATCTAAACATGCACTTCAGTGGCAAAAGAACTTTGAACTTGAAGCATAGTCCAGTGTTCAAAAGTCATTTGGTTGTGTCCTTTCATCATTGACTGATATTGATCATGCTATTTATATAAAAATAAGTGATCAATAACTCAGGTAAAGGCCATAGGAATAGAGTTTTGCACACACACATGTACATGTAATGTAATACGTGATGCAAAAAAAGACTAAAAGACCAAAAAAAGAGTATTTGAAGAGCTTGAGGACCGATATTAACTTAAATCCAACTTTGCAAATATGGGAATCGGAAAATTGTCACAATTTCCGCTTTCTTTGAGATGACACGAGATTTCATCTGCAAGTGCAAAAAACACCAGCATTTATTTAAATCATACACTTAAAAAATGTCAGATGCCTGATTGAAAGTATATATTATAATACAGTTCTTTTTCTTTTGCATGACATTGTGGAAAAATATTCAGACTCCCCTACCACAGAGATGTGAATGGATCAGCCCAAGTGTTATAATTTGTGAACATTGGCCATAACGTCACGTCAGTCCTATTAGAAGAAACCACATTTACCATCATGAATTATTTATGACTCTTTCCTCTGGCAAACAAACTAAGAATGGTCAAATTGTCATTTATATGTGTACAGCACACACCCTCCTACGAAGGACACACAGGCAATAAAATGGAAAATAAAATATGACAACTAACATTACTGTAGACCGGCGCTCTTTTACAAACATTTGGTTGTTCAGTCAAGTGTACATAAGATGTTGATCTTGCTTCTTAGTTACAGAGGTACACAACAGGACGAGAGTTGGCAAATAACCTTTTGAAATTTGTGTAACAATAGAGAAAATGGAAAGTTCCTGAATTCCTGTAATAGTACTTGTGTGGGTCTTTTACAAAATACACACTTTTGCCAATACAGTGTACTAGTAGAATCTATTTAGTTCAAATTTTAATGTTCAAGTATACAAAAGTTAAAATACGGAAGTAAAGATATAAGAAATCAATGGAGTCTGTCAAAGGACCAAATAAAGACATGAAATTATGTTTTGAACCGCAAACTAACATAGAAGACAACAAAAAAAGGAGACTCAACACATCATATTCTCCCAAGGCAATAGAAAAGGGATTTTTGGCATTGCCCCAGGGGCGGAGGCTTTTTCCGTCCCCTCTTGGGTCTTGTATGAGACTGTCATCATGATAAACTCTTGTTAGAGTATATATTGAAAAAGAGTTGAAATACATGTATGATTTGATTATCTTTCTATTGCAGCAGCCACCCCTGCCAAGGGCCCCCCTCCCCGCCGCCGCACCACTTCTGAAGACCTGCAGAAGGCTATTGAGAAAGAGAAGGAAAGGATCAAACAGGAATACGAACAAGAGCTACAGGACATGAAGCTACGCTATGAAAAGGTAATGAACAAGAGCTACAGGTGGTTCAAAAGTCATTGAGCATAGTCATGGTATCTTTGTGTGACTATAGTTCAACTGGCTGGATACTGTAATGTAACATCGATATCTAAAAAAAGCACTGCTGTAGGTAACATTGAAATTAAGCTGCACCAGAAAACTTTTACCCGCACCATTTTTGAGAAGTATGGATCATATAAAAAAACTTTTCAGAAACCATTGCCATTATTTCTTCTATACTTCATATCCACATGCACCTACATGTATCAGTGCAGGTTGGGTGCAAGTAGACATCAGGAATACCTGCACAGCTCCATTTTTACCTGTACTAAGGTGCATATGCACCCAGTAATTTAAGCAATGATTAAAATGCAACATTTTGTCTCCTCTCCCTAGGAACAAGAGAGCAATGTGAAGCTGCAGGAGGACATGCAGCGGTTACGTGAGTTCTACGACTCCCAGCTCACCAACGTGGAGCAGAACTTTGAGGAGCTCCCCCCCGAGGACCAGAATGGTGAGGTCGAGGAGAGGCCAATGACAGCTGCTCCACGGAGCCCCCCCACACCGCTGGACGGGGAGGACCTGCCTGACGGACCCAGCCTGGAGGGGACCATGAGTCTGAGGAGTATGGACGAGTCTCCTGGTGCAGAGGTGAAACAAGTTTGTGTCTTATACGCTCTAACATCTGTGTCCATAATATCACAAGGGTCCATAATATCGCCACCTTGAGAAATAGTGTGCTTAAAGGTATTTTTACTGCAACATACTTTTGGTATGCACTCCTGCACACCTCAAATGTACATACCTAGGGTATGTTGCAGTAAAAATATCTTTAAGCACACTATTTCTTAAGGTGGCGATATTATGGACCCTGGTGATATTATGGACACAGATGTTAACTACTTGAGCACGTCGACAATTGCACCTGCGCGAAACCCGTAATGCATTGTGCATAGCACTAAGGCAAAACGTCTCATATAAGGTCGTATTTGCGAATATAAGGTTAATATCCAGTCTGTAATTTCCAAATGTCATGTCAGAAATAAAGATATCTTCTGCAACAGGCAAGATTCTAATGCAACGGTGACCAAAATCTAACGAAAACCGTGAAAAATTGGGGTTTTGCGCAGGGCCAGTACGTTCTGCCAACGTGCTATTGAAGTATTATAGTGTTGCAGTGAATAATACACTTAGTGAATGCTACACTTCAAATCCTCATGAGATGTCGAGAAATTGAGATGTCCTGATGAATATTATTCAACATGATAAAAGCTATAAGTCAATACTAACAGTAAGGGTACCGTACCATGCAACCCCCCACTGTTCCAGGCACAGCTAGCCCAGCAGCCAGAGATGGCCCAGGCTCTAGGGCTGGTAGAACAGCCAAAGGTAGCTAAGGTCAGGTCACCTAATGAACATTATGGCTTGCATTGCCAAATATGGTGGATAGGTGGTGGCCATGGTGAGAGGTATATACTGAGCTGCCCTTGCACTCTTTGGTGAATATCCAATATGGTGTTATCATTGTCTTTTAACTTCTTCCACATAACACAAAACAAACTGTTGGTGGAGATTTGTGCTTGCTTTGTTTTTATAACAGTATAGTAAGTGTAGGGCAATTGGCTTTCTAATATGTATTAAGGTGTAGTCCTGGTGGCCTTTGAATGCAGGTGATCTTTTCTATATGGTGTATGTAGTTGTTCCTGGTGTATTATGAATGTACAGTGAAATATGCTTAAGGTGACAAAATTAATTAACTTATAATTATATAAACACAAAATTTGCCTGTAATATTGCACAGTGTAAAATGATTTCCACCAATCTTTCACAGTAAACTCCTTGTCACATTTTACTCCAGGCTATACTTTTTGCCTTGCCATGTGTTAGACTTTTTCCTCAGCATGTTGAAAGCTGTACAACACTTGAAATTTCATGAAATATCTTGCATTGATACTGATTATTAGTGTTACATGTTTTCACAGAAGCAACAACCACAGGTGGCCAAACATCTTGGCTCGAAGCAGAAGACAGAGTTAGATGACCAGGACAGCCCGCGTGTGCCGTCCTCCTCCCCCAGTAGTAACACAGACATGGCACAGAGTGTGCTGGAACAGGAGGAGGCTCTGCACAGACTACAGGAACTACAAGTAAGAAATAAAAGATACGTCACTCCTAGTGATGCATATCGGTTCACTGGACTTGGATCCGGACTTGTAAGAATGTTAAGGTTCAAGTCCAAAAGAATCTAAAAGTCAAGAACCGAGTCCGGACTTATTACCATAAAAGACCATTTCACATACCCCTTTTCTTTCCAAACCACCTAAAACCTTCCGTAGATTGCAAAATCTTTGCTGCAAAATGAAGAAAACATTGCCATCGGGCATCGTCAAGTACCGGCCTCCATGTTATGTGGCCAAAGTTTCACCCAGACAACATTGCAAGGTTGCCAACATGCAATTTTGTTTATGCCATGGGTTTAGGTCCGGACTTACAAGTCTGGAACTGAACCTAAGCCTAGAGTGGACTTGAATCTGGACCTGAACCTAAAATTGGGTTTAGGTATGCATCATTAGACTCACTCCCAGGGTGTAAAGGATCATCCATACTCTATATTTTCTTTACCCTGCTATGGTGCAAAGTTTCAAAGATTTTGATCTTTGAAAGAACCAAAACTTAGCCTGGGTACCATCCAGATTTTCGCTCTGTAACGCCATTTTTTAAAAGGATTGCGGAGCGAAAATCCAGATGGTACCCAGGCTAAAACTAACCAGTACTCTAACTTACAAATGAGAAGTTTCAGATGATTTTAATTTTAGGTTGTCATCTTGCACCTAATTATATGCTCGTTCATTCTTCTTTACGTTTTGTCTCAGCCCAAAATATAACAAATAACACTATTTACTCACATATCTCCTTGTGTTTTTTGGTTTGTACTTACCCTTGTTTTCCAACGTTTTGCTGTTCTGTTACTGACTTTACTTTGATTACCCCCCACTCCTCACCGAGGATAAAATGTTCCATGCACAGGAGCAGATGGTGGGAGGGGAGAAGGCCCACGATGAGGCCGCGCTGGAGAAGAAGAAACGCAAGAGAACGCACGCAGAGAGACGGAAGGAGAAACTGGCAAAAGTGTTTGCCCAGTTGGACGACGGAGGAAACATCATGCTGAACGTGTACGGCAATATACAAGACAAACTGAAGGCTGCAAACCAGCAGCTAGAGAAGGAAAAAGAAAAGGTAGGAGTTCTTTCTGTGAAAGTTACTACACTTTCAAAAGCAGGGAGAGAGAAATGTATCACCAGAGGTACGGTACCAGCCCGACCGTGGGTCGGATAGCCCGAAGGCCAGAGGGAGGGCTGGGACCGAGGGCAATGCGGAATACACTGTGTTGTATTTATGTCATACCCACCCAAGAAAACACACCTTTCAATGCGAAGTGAACAAAAATGTGGTGTCCCTAAACCAAAAAATGCAACAACATCAATTCCAACGTCCGAATTTGGTATTCTCGAAAGCGGTACACGCAGTTCAGGCAAAACGCATTCGAATTATTCTATGGAACATTTGGAAGCCCAATAGAACCCCGGACTGTAAGTGTAACCAAATAGGACCCAGGCTGTACCGCTAGTTATTACAAGGGCCAGAACACCCGTATTTAATGTATGGCATGACATAAATCATATTATAGTATTATAATGAGTTTAATTTTTTAATATCATATCTCATATTAAGAAGAAGAGCTTTGTTTCTCATTTTAGATGGAAAATGGGTTGATGGAAAATGGGGAACAGTCAACTACATGTAGTCCTGATGGAAGCAACAGTGATGTGAGCGTACTAGACTTGTAAAGGGGTGTTTTACTTACAGATGCTGTTTCATTGATTCGCTGCTGCTGCTTTAGCCTGGGTGCCATTCTCCGTAGTTTCCACGGTTCATAATTTTGCTGGTCTGTGGTGGCCAGCAACACTAGAAGACTGCATTTCAGGACTCCTCCTTGCTTTAACAAGATACCCACATGCCTTGTGTGATGGAATGGCATTGTATGATAAACCTCAGGATGCATGAAATTCAAACAGACTTTCTTTTGCATGTTTACATGCTATTCTATCAAACCATCCATTTGAACTCATTTTTCCAAGTGCCTTGCCAATACCATTACTGCAATGCATGTGGGTATATATAAAGTGTCATAAAAGGGAGCATTAAATTTGTTCTCTTGATAAAAATTTGCAGGAGGATTTTGAAGATTGTCTTGTACTCTTTTCTCCTGTTCAGACCAGAGCAGCAGAGATTGACATTATTGACCTACAGAGTGAGTTTGAGTTTGAGCGGATCGACTATCTCTCCACCATCCGGGAACAGGAGAAACAGCTCAAACTGCTACATTCCCTCATCGACAAGATCCACCCACTCCTACGCAGAGATAGTAACTACTCCAACTTGGACAGGTTGGTACACTCTCGTTTGTATGATGTAACAATGGACAGAAATATAAGAATAAAAGAGAACATGCAGCAAAAATGCATGATGTGTAGTGCAATAGTTTGTGCTTATAAATTTGCCATTCTCTTCCAGTCTCTAGTGTCACTGACGAAAGCTAGTGGATGCTGCCTGAAACATCTGACCATTTCCAAAGTCATATCCAATTGCTTGAGTAACTGTTTTTGGCATATCTTACCACCTGGATGTCTAACCTTCACCGATGCATGATGTGTAGCCTGAATACCAGACCCATAACACGCTAGACCCAGAGTTATAGTTAGCCAGAATGGATCAGGGCCTAACTGAAGGGGGCTGTGGTATAATCCTTGAAGCATGTTGGCCCTGGAGCCGGGGAACTGGCAAGTGTAGGCCCTGGAAACAGTCTGGCACCCAGGCTACATGATGTGCTTCAATAGCAGAACAAATATTGTCTACACAGTAGATAAATGTGTTGTGAACTATCAGCGATGATGACATTTTTTATCTATTGTACCCCAGGGTTAAGGCACAGTGTAAGTGGGATGAAGAGAACCAAAAATGGGTCCTGCCGGATGTTAAAGTGGAGACGACATCATTACCTCCCAATCCTGGAGGTAGGTACTCATCATTATCCTCCCGTAGCTTATTGCAGTTTTGAAACAAACTGCAAGGTGGCAGTGTTGCAAGAATTAGATTATGTAATTCTGATTTGTCTATCTTTATATTTGTTTATTTGTTTATTTGAATGATCTCCATTAGTGAGTATATGCTTATACTCACTAATCTTCCTGGAGTCTTAAAACACATTACAGACTTAAACACAGGCGTGCACTTGCTTATTGCTACACCTAAAACACAACAACATAACTGATTACTAACTTAACCTATCCTATTCTATATACAACAAAGTAATAAGTTTATAAAGATAAAGTTTTGCTAACAATATTGGTATAGATTCTTATTGTTTTTCTGTGACTGTAGTATTACAGTATGTTCTGACTGTATTTTGTCCACAGGTATCATGCCAGGAGGGAGAGCACCCCAGGGTAGAGGGCCTCCCCCAGGGCCCAGGGACAGATCACCTGGTAACCAGGTCAGCCCTTCACTATTGTTTGTTTGTTTGTTTATTAGCAATATAATCAGTAATAAAATAAACATAAGATATGTGGGGGGAAGATTATGCCGTTATGGTCAGGTGTCTGCAGTCTTCCTTTGACAACATTAATTGTATGACATTTTAATACAACTTACAGTAATTGATCAGATAATACTAATGATAGTACTACACTTGAATGAAGTGATTGCCCAAGTGATTTGTGGATGCTTAAAAAGTTGTCAGATACATATATATGCTCTTACATTTTGGAAAAAATTGTTGAAATAGCCACAGAATATTACTTCGCTCAAGGGAGTAAAGTATTTTTGCATGTCTGTGTGTTATATTCACAGTAGCAAAAATTATGCAGTCTGAGAAAAATAGACATGTTAGAGAAACTATATGTTCACGGTCTATCGATCTGTGATTCCCAATGCACACAATACATCGTTGCCATACTGCTATTGATGTATGTGGGACTGGAAGTTATACAAATCAGTATGGGTAAGGAGGTGAAGTCTGCCATCTCTGATTGCCTAAAAATGTTTTTACAGTACGGGAGTGCCAACTACCCGCCCCCTGAGGAAGACAGGCTACTGCAGAGGCTGAACAGAAGATCCAATGAGAACATAGCAGACAGCTACTTCAAACCCAAGCGAGCCAATCAGCTCCTGAATTCCACCACCGATCACAACCGTCACTTCGGACAGACGCTGGAGAGGAATTTTGACCGGAATCCTGAGAGGAGCCTTGGAAGTCTGGGTCAAAAATCTGGTGAGCATCAAAAACGTCTTTAAGTTAGTTCTCCCACCTTTGCAAAGGTTATTACATCAAATGTAGCGCTACATAATTTATATGTCCTCCTGTGTATAGTAGATTGCTTGTATACTGTTGTCTAGGAGGAATACAAGACATCTTTGTTTTTCAGAATAAAAAAAGAAACTATAGGCAAACTATACATAATCCAAAAGATTGTCTTTCGAATCACCTTTTTTGCCTTTGCTCTGTTTTATTTCATGCAACTTTGATATTTCTGATTTAAGAAATCATGAGTGACATGTGTCTTAATTGTATTGAAATATTTCTGTAATGACCAGCTAGTAGAAAAGCTCTGCAGCATGATCCCTGCTTGATAGTATATTCTACAACATAAAAAAATGCATGATGTTAAATGTGCTTATTTTACTTCTGATGCAGGCACTACATACACACATGCATCAGCTGCTCAGGACCCTCCCAGCTCTAGTCAGTTCCCCTTCTATTGCCTGTCCTAACACGGTGTCTTTCTTTGCCTGGTTTTGAACTAACTGCACATCAATTTTTAAAGTGCTGTTCTTTTGGGGACCAAGCCATTATTATGTATGCCTTTGTTGCAAGAAGGCAGAAAAAATACCTCACTAGCTGAACTATAATAGCTGACTATAGCTGAGCGTTCAAAATTGTTGTTTGCCAAGGTTTTCTTGCTTTCTTTCACATCAGTCAAAATTAGCTTACTCAACAGCATCTACCCTCATCATACTAACCTTTTGTCACTAAATACGTCATCATAAAAATGTCACATCTTTATTCCTAACAATACTGAAGGTGTGACAAGTGGTGCATTATGACTCACGTACAATAGAGTGCACTCTGTGGTAATAAAATTAACAGTGCTTTGTGCAATGTGCCTCACACACTAATGCAAATGTGTGGTCATGTTGGTCAAACCTGGTGACTAACGTTACAATCCCATGTCTTTGTTCGTGATTCAGAGAGTTAGAAAATGTTTTTTTTTCCAAATTTTCAGTAGTCCTTACATAAACAAACATGTATGTTTTCCTTTGCAGTGTCTTCTCTAGGATATAACAGTTCCATGACAAATGGTGAGTACCAGGCACCAGACTCGCACATCTCACCGATGGACATGCCAATGCGCCGTCCTGTACGGTTAGAGCGAATGTCGCCATCATCAGCCAAGGACAAGAAGAAGAAGAAGAAACAGAAACCGGGAATGCTGGAACCGTTGTAGTGAAGGGAGGGGAGGGTACAGTAAGAACTCTGAGGGCTCAAGTAGCAGGGACTGTTCATTTGATAAATGGTGACTATAGAATTGACACTCTTGGAGGACCATTCCCTACAATATTTGAAGGGAAACAAATTCATCTATCACCTTTCTTTTCTTACAAATTTGAGGAAAGTGTCATCAAAGAACTCTGCATTCCTTATCTGAACTGCAAGAGAAAACAAACCTTCCCTAACTGTTTGCAGAAAAATGTAGATTGAGAGATTCAACCTTAGAAGATCAGATGTTTGAACAATAAAAGCTTTTAAACCAAATGGAGGCACAGGTCATCCTAATGCTGTAGACATCTGTAAGTTTATGGCAGTGTGTTTTGTCATAATTAAGTTCAAGTGTGATGATGTGAAAATACGTTCACCACATTGTGATAGATACATGTAAGTATGTTACGGTGTTGTGCAAGCGGTACTGTGTTAAATGGTTCTGTATACTGTGAATCTATCTTTTGTGTGGGTCTCATTTGGGATATAAGGGTCTAGGAACTACCAGGATTGGAGGTGCCTGCTGCTGTCTGTATTGCTCAAATAGTTTTCTGTGTGTTGCTTTAGCCATAGCTTAGCTTGTAGTTTAGATACGTGTAAGAGTATTACAGAACATAGTACATGACTTAAATTACATTTCTAAGCTCCTGTCTGGCACAAGAGAAAATTTAGTTTCTATGAAGACAACAAAATATCAGACAATTTCTTCTTCCAACCAACAAACTTAAAGTACTGTATAGTTTACCAAGTCAAAACGTAATGCATGACAAAAATGCATGAGCGTTATGATCCAAGTTTGGATACAAAAATTTGCATCACATACAGGGTAATTACTGTAAAAAAAAGTATATCAAATCTAGTTTTTTGAAACATGTTAAGGTTGTCACTGGTGTGACATGTGGCCTTTTAATCTACAAATCTCAGAGATAATATGGAGTAATATATGGTGACCACAAAAGAGGTACCAGTACATTTATTCACACCTAGCTTTCTTTACACTGTACATCAAAGATACATAAGTTATGGATGCTAGCAATTAGACAAAGTTCCCTTAGGCCACACCAATTTAATTTCTTGGTTAACGGATTCGCCCGCTTCATTTTTTTCTGATTTGCAAATAAAAATAAAAATTCAGAATGAAGTGCAAAATGCTCATATTTTGCCCTGAACAGTTGAAAACAGTCCTTTTCTTCCTAGATGTTACAGTTATTCCATCTTTAAATGCAGTGGTATCATTCAAAGTTCAAAATTTATTGTTTAAATTTTGAACCAGCCTGGTGTGTTGACTTCATGGCTCCTATCGTACCATTTTGGGCCATAATAGGATGCCTAGGTCTGTTTTTTTTTTGTTTTTTTCGCCCGCCCGCTCCATTATTTTTCTTCAATAATCCATTAACCAAGAAATCAAATTGGTGTGGCCTTAACTAAAGTTGACACTAAGGAGTACAAGAATGTAGAGCTGCTTATGTTATTGAATATTCAACTGATGATGCATATTCTTCTATCAGCAATACTTCTCAAGCACAAATAGGGTTGCATTTTAATCTTTAATGTTGTCACATAAAAGCATTGTTTTAAAGATTTCCAACAACTTCATGCTGCATTTGATTTTTAGAAGGCACTGATGTTTTTATGCATCGATTGTGAGCACATGATATTTCCAAAGTTGTCATATTAGTCTTGTAACAGACCTGAATTAAGTTGTACTGTATATGTATTTTGTGATGTCAGAGTTGTAGTTATGATAGTGCACTGACTTGTATGGGACCAAGCTGTGTAGTTTATACATGTTACAATACTCAGGAAAATTGCTTTCTGTTTAATAGAGTCTTTACCTGTGTTGGCTATAAATTGAAACTGATAAAACAAGAGTGATATTGTAATGCTTTTCTTGTCTTTTATTCTAAAGGTTCATACCTTTTCTCTCAAAAAAGTTATGAAATGATCTCTGGTTACATCTATTTTTCTGATTCATATAGTGTTTAACATGATTATTCCCTTGCTAAAACACTTACCTGTGTTGGCTATAAATTGAAACTGATAAAACAAGAGTGATATTGTAATGCTTTTCTTGTCTTTTATTCTAAAGGTTCATACCTTTTCTCTCAAAAAAGTTATAAAATGTTCTCTGGTTACATCTATTTTTCTGATTCATATAGTGCTTAGCATGATTATTCCCTTGCTAAAACAAGTCATGCAATTATGCCTTTCTAAGTGGTGACTTAACACCCATTGAGACCATATCAAATTAGATGTAATAAAAAGCAAACCAAGTTCATTTACGAAATGTGATTGGACTGATCATCATAATGATTTAACTGTGAATCATAAAGCACAGATGTAATTACTGAAAGGCGCTAAGCCCCTCAAGAATTAGCCTGGTTGCCAGCCTCTTTTGCAGCTGCCTGTGAATTTCCTCAGGCATACTAAGCTTCTACAATCACCTTTTTTTTAAAACAATCAACCAGGCTCTAAAATGATTGTTTCAGGCAGGGGAAATCAGTTACTGGTGTGCTAAGCTAAGGTTAGGTAGCCGTAGAAGCTTAATAAAATGTTTTTTAATAGTGAATTATGTGGAAACCAGTGTTTGGTCTTGTAAGAGATTTAAATGTGAAGTTCTTTCCTCAGCACTAAACCCTGACAGTGTTCTGTCTAGGCAGTCTGGCTGCTAAGGGGGCCCGCAAGCCGGCCCTTTTCCGTAGAGCGTAATCGGCCGTTTTAATTCTACGTAGAGCGTAGACGGACCGCTCTAATATTTTTGCGTAGAGCCTATTTGTAATTCGTAATTCGGCGTTTTAATTCTACGTAATGCGTTGTAGCCACTTGGAATTTATCGTAAAGCGTAATCGAGAGGTTTCCGAATTTAGCGTAGAGCGTTGTCCGGACCCCCCCTTGCAGGCCCTCTGCTAATGCTGAGTGAGAGCTGACATAGATAAAAAAAGAGGCTGGTGACCAAGTTACAAGAATCTTTAAAAAAAAAACTATTTTGCCCACCATGTGACATAATAGACAATATGAATTGTTGATGTAACTTTGCAGCTGCTACCAATAAAATCAATAGAAACAGTTTGAAATCCCGCCGGCTCTATTGTGAAGACATGAGGTGATGCCTGCATGAGTAACAGGGAAGCCCCAGGGTTGGGTCGTCATCTGTCCCCTATTGTGGGTAGATGTGCTAGAGAACTGTTTATGTGTGCAGTTTGTATTCTGTGAAAATGTCTGTTCTTAGAGAAGCAAGTAAAAACTAAAACTAAGTTTTCAAACTTGAAAGAAATTCTTGAGTGAGATTAAAACTTCCTGATAACAGAAGTTAATCACTTAATGATTAATTTGAATTATCAAAAATCAACCTATTGTATAATTGATTAGCTTAAAACCAACTCAAGACAAGGAAATATAGTATTGCAACAAAAGTATGAGGAAACAGCATTGACACTGAGATAATTCTGCTATCTTCCAAGGCAATCAGATAACTTGGAAAAAAACATGTTTTCATGAATGAAGTAAAAGGTTGTGACTACAACACATCCAGATCATGGTGACAGGTAGTTGCTGACTAAAAGTAAAATTTCCCAACTACTAGTATTTCATTTCATAGGAAAACAATGGCGAAAACAACATTTTGTTCTTCCCCAGTATGTTAAGTCGGTTATGAGTCATTCCCCACCTGTTACTACAACAGGCTTATATACAGACCACAAAAATAGCTACTGATCTAATACCTGCACTTCAAAGTGTTTGTCGTTGGACTGTACCAACTGACATTTACCTATAAGAGGGGAACGCCCGGTATAGCAATCAAACAGGTGCCGAACCGTAATTTTCCTATTATTTTGAACGTTACAAAACAATTTTCTCTGCCTGACATTGATGGAGGATAATGTCATTGATCTGCTCTCCCAATATGTTTCATTCACAACAGTGGCAAAATTTCACTGTCAGGGCCTGAAATAAGTGTCACGATCAGATCTTGTCCTCGAGGTTTAGTGGAACGCTTACCATAAGATTATGTTAAAGGTTTTGTTTATCATATTTCAATAAATTCCATTTTGAGAATTTTTCACAATATGTATTACCCCATGCTGGGTTTCCACATGGTACGGTCGCAGTGACACTACCCCCGCGCTGACCAATCAGCGCGCTCCATTGCCGGCTCATCGGATCTCATGGCAACAAATGTTTTGGGACCAAAACATGGAGACGTGACCCAGCGACCGGGTAACGACGGCCGGCCGGGAAGAATATGTCGTCTGCAGCACGGAAATGCCCGAAAAACATTGGATTTTCGCTCAGAATTTAAAAACTGAGCTCCTGGGATGTGAGTTTGGCATATTACGCGTGGAAGTCTGAATAAGGTATGTCGCGGAAGCAACATTTTGCAACATTGTAGCTCATTGAACATTTTCGGCTCGTCGGACGATAAGTCACTTGATTTTCCATGAACTGTTTACGTGCATGACGCATGTTACCTGATGAATTGTAAATTAAACCACCACATCTCTTGAAGAAGGACAAGTATTTCTGATCTCGCTGTCAGGACAAATATCAGACGACATTTTCACACGTGGGGGTCGGCGAAAGGGAGACCTTTCAGAGTCCGTTTCGCGCCAAAACAATTTGATACTCAGGTGGGTAACGGGACCCGCTCCGAGGGGAAAGCTCACGTTTCCCGGTCATTGTGGGAGGTTCGGGCCGAGCCGGCATGGCGGGGAAAACCGGTGGGAAGGTTGGCTTTCCTAGCGGCGGGAAGGTGGGGTTCTCTAGCGGGAAGAGGGGCGCGCCTGCCCCGGTGTCGTCCTCGGATGAGGAGGAGATAGAAAAGGAAGTACAGGAGAAGGAGGACTATGAAAACATCGCCTCGCCTTGCAGCAGTACGTCAAGCGGGCCTGTCTACGAGAGACAGCCGGGGTTTGAGAAACATGGACACGAAGTCGTCGTCCCGAGAAGACCCAAGATCAAGCACAAGATCAAGAGGAAGAAGATGACGAACTTTATGCTGGGCGGAGATCATGATTTCTACACGGCCAGTCGGGGGAGGCGGAAGGATGGTACCATGGTCCCCACGCCCCCCAGCAAGGGCAAGCCCAAAAGGGGTAAGTCACAAACAGGTGTACCGTTGACAGGTGTGTCATGCAGGTGTCTCCAGGTGTAACTAAAATGTAGCAGTCCCACGTACTGTCAGGTGTACTAACCTGTTAAATAAAAACACCTGCTTGCGCAATTCTAAGCTGTCATTATCTTTTTTCAGCTACAACAATTGCAAATAAATTTCCAGTACACTTCCCCGACCAACATTTTGAACCTTGAAGATTCTTAGCCGCTTCAAGAAACACGCAGTGTTACACCAATAATGTAAATGGAATACAATGAATCAGATGATTTTTATAGATTTTCCAAATTTCTAACAGTGTTGAACTTTGACCTCCCAGCATCCTGTTTTAAACAATTTTGATGGCATGATATTTTTTATCATCTACCAGAAATGCTACAACATATTTCAATGCTTCTAATACATTATATGATTCCGAGGTGTGGCTAGTGGTGTTTCAGGTGGTGTTTCAGGTGTGGAATACCTCACCTGAAGTGTCACCTGCAACCACCTGTTTGTGGTCAGCTGTCAATTGATGCAGGTACAAAGTAGGTGTGTCTGTTAATGGCTTCATTGCAGGATATTATGAAAATAAAATGCCTCTTGGTAAACCTCCTTGTCAAAAGTTGCAGAAAAAATTGCAAAATTTGAACAATTTAGTCCTTCATCATAAAAACAACTGATATTGCAAGCTACACTGTATACCATTAGTCCTACTTTCACTGTAGCACAGTTTCCCCATACAAGCTTTTAAAGGGACTGTGTAACGGTACACAGCGCAATGTTACGCTCCATATACCACAAAACAAAATTAGCCCCACCCTCAAAACCATACATGGGCAGCCATCTAAAACACAACTTGGTTATGCAGTTGGATACGTGTACCTTAGAAACCCGTCAATGCCTCATTGGTTGTGAATGTAACGTAGCTTTAAGCAAGATCAGTCTTGAGCAACAAACTCATTTTGATAATGACTGTGTCCATCACACCAGTTAGAAAGAATTGTCATCCTTGATGAGGTATCTAGGCCACAATTATATACTGTACTTTCTGAAGCCATATGGAATCTTTGTATCGAAGTTCAAGGTTCTGACCACCATTGTTGACAACTTGTAAGCGTACTTTAAACCTTGGTCCCTCAACACTTTTTCTCTTCTTGTAACAGGTCAAACGGGCATGCAAAAAGGCAAAAAAGGCTTTCAGTACCATTTCTTATGCTGTTTTTATTCAAAATATGTGTGTCAAAGGTAGCACATCTTAAAGAAACCTGTGCATTGTTTCTGCTCTGCCGCCTATGTGGTTCTTTTCTTGCTTAGTGTGAATTCGTGCATTCAACCAAAGAATATCCTTCTTTAGGCCCACAAAACATGTCTTCTTCGAGTAGGTAGATTTTTAAATAGAACTCAAACAGGTGGAAAGAGACAGATAATGGCAGTGGTGGCTGCAGCCTATATTTGGCAACATGCCTGGAGTGTTGAACAATCTAGAATATCCCAAGTGCAAGTCTGTCAGATAAGCCTTGTGTGTTTTCTTAGCTGTGTAATATCAATATCAAAATACCAAGCTCTCCAGGTATATCAGACATTTTTCTTTAATTCGTGGTTTGCAAATTATACCACTTGGAAGGAAATATTTTTAGAAACAGGTGGGCCACTCAGGTTGCTTTGATGCTAATGGTGATTTTAAAGGTCATCTTCTGATAACTAAAGGTAAATATAGACAGCTCTTCAAAGGGCAAATCCTTGGAAGCAATCAAATTTCTACTTGAAAGTGATATGAGAAATGTTGCTGTTTTGGGGGATAGATGGTGCTTAAGGACAATGTTGCCATGACCAGGCACTGTGTGACTTAAGTATCTGCACCTACAAGCTGTATTTTGTAATTATAACTGACAGGAAAACAGATGTTAGTAAGCACAATTACAATGCTTGTGTTAGCAGTGGTTCCCAAGAGACCTGCCTAGTTCATGTTTCATAAGGGATGGAAGGAAGACAGGATTGGGAAGTGATGCTTTTGAGTAAACGTCAGTAAATTTTTCTTAATTTTAACAAGCCTCCCACTAAGAGTCTAACCTACTTGTTGTATCTCTTTTCTAGATTTGATTCGGATCCATCAAAATAACTGAATTTGTGTATTGTTCCAATCTTTACACATGCACAAGCATTGCATATACAAGTACACAGAGAGGGAAAGAGAACAAGACAGAAAAAGACAGCTAGGCAGCTACACATTAATTCATATACAATGTGTCTATACACGTACTCCATTTGCATTTTATCATACCATATATAATCAGGCTTAAGAGACCAGGATCTTGCTCTTCTTCTACAGGGTATTAAGGTCTGAAGAGCTGAGCTCTTTTGGAGGAGAAGCTCACGTATCATATTACTGTAAGGATCTAATGCCAGGTGTGTCTATGAAGTATGATCAACACCTGGGGAAAAACAGTGAAATTGAAACAGATGGATATTAGCATCCAGGTTGTTCTCTTTCTGTGGAAATGTGTTTAGCAAGATAAACCTTAAAAATAGTAATTGTAACTAGGAAGGATGCAAATATCTGTTATTGTCTTCACACATTTTAGGAAACCAAGCAGAGAGAAAATGGATTCAAGTGTTCGATATCAATGTTTAGCAGTGGTAATTCTAGCAGCTGCTCTATAATGCTTGCGATACAGGCCTAACAAGCTGCAAATTGTTGTATAATAATTGAGTAATCTCCAGAGGCCTTCCACATCCTGAGTACAGATGTGTTTTCAGAGGTTTCTCCTAGCTTGTTAAGATGATGTGAAGGAGAATGAGAGGTCGTTATGCATCAACACGCCTTATGCTGGAGGATGCAGGGCTAATTTGTCCCGGAGGGAAGCTATGGATGAGGGGAGGTCTAACTAGCAGACCTTGAAAAGGGATAAACACGTATACCTGCTCCTATAGCAGGAGTGGTAGAAATACTTTTTTTTCTAGTGTTCTGCAATATTGCAGAATGTCAACATTTTTTTCTGCAATTTGCAAATACCTTCCGCAAATACACAAACTTTTCAGCTTAGTAGAAGTTTTCTATAGCACATGATAACAATAAGAAAAGTACTAGATTTTGCCCCTAGAAACTGCGCTATCTGGGTTTTGATATGTTGTTTGTGCAGCACATCTGGGTAAAATATGCAAAGAAGCCAACACCATTGAATCTGTAGACTTATATTTCTGCAAAATTGCTTAATTTTTCTTCTGCAATATTGAAAATGTCTCTGCAAAGTACAGACTGCTGGGGGTATTTCTAACACTGGCAGTTCAATAAGAAAGTATGTGAATCTAAATGAGAGTTCAAAATTCAAGAAATGAGTGGAGCATGTGAGCTGATGAACTAGACCTTGCTATTGAGGACCACAGTCTTCCATGATTGGTCACTTGAGTGTTGATTTTTCCTCCGCACACTTCAAGTGCTCATTATCCCCCAACAGGAGAACAATAGTTACCTGGCTACCAAGCCATTGTGAAGAGGTAAAATTGTATCAAATCCCCTCTCACTCTAACGTCACGCAGAGTTCAGTTCAATAATAAGAAAAAGAAAAGCGGGCTTTCAGTGACTGTTTTGACCACCCATGGAAACAACAAATGAAATCATCTATGTCCAAATATGTGTAATTAATTGTTACCCAATAATTTCATTTCTCAAAATTAGTCTGCAACATATACGAATAAGATTCATGTCTGTGATTCAATTTTCAGTTACTGAAGTACCCCCTGGGTCCACAAAATAAATAAGGCATTACCAATGTTATGTTCTTCCTTGTCTACTGAATAGTAGGTAAAATAAACATCCTTGATGAAAACACAGGTTTCCTAGATACTGCTGTCGGAGTCCCAAACTACTTGTAAAATCATTACCTGGCCCATTTGGGGGGTGCTTTCATGTAACTACAGCATAAAAGCCTGTGGTAATTCAATTAAAGTTGAGAGGGCAGAACAGTTTTCTACTTTGTAACCACACTTCTATTTTCTTTGCCCACTTACAGTACCTCTGTGACCACAAAATTCCTCTAAGTCAGATGCCATAATTGTGTTGGCTGCGGTATTACCCTGGCAGAGGCAGGGATACACTGTACACGTGTGCATGTAATGTTACATGTATGAGGGCCTGCAAGGGGGGGTCCCGACAACCCTCTACGCTGAATTCGGAAACCTCTCAATTACGCTTTACGATAAATTCCAAGTGGCTACAACGCATTAAGTAGAATTAAAACGGCGAATACGCTCTACGCAAAATGCGAAGAGCGGTCCGTCTACGCTCTACGTAGAATTAAAATGGCCGATTACGCTCTACGGAAAAGGGCTTGCGGGTACCCCATGTATGTCTTGGAACTTTCTCCTATGACACAATGATGGATTCACAGATTATAATACAGAAACCCTTTTCAGAAAAAAAATGTAGCTCTGTCAAGATTTTGACAAGGCATTGGAATTGAGGTTTTGATAGTGATGACAGTCAATGACAGACAATACAAGGTAACTCCTAAATATGATTTTTATACTCTTCCTGTAGGGTTGTGGTTTATAACAGTTTTCACTTCTTCCTAGGAATTAGGTCAGCAGAGTGTCAGGCCCTATTATGATTGGTCACCAAGTAACAGGGTGGGTGGGGCAGGGGCTTATCTTTGTAAATGGCTGGGCGGTATTTGTTATGACAACAAATTGGTGCTATGTCAATAAGGAAGTCTTTGTGAATAAGGCTCCTGCAAACTATGAAGCGATAAGTGACAGACTTAGAGGATTAGAAATACTCTCTACCTTTCCGAATGGTTATATGAAGTACCTTTTAAAAAATAACAGCATTGAACTGAAATTGTATGACTTGATTGATGTTGTATTTTCCTTTCTTGTAAAACACAACATGGATAAATTGTCCTCATATTGAATCAAGTGGAAACAAACACGAAGAAAAACACTTCGCCTTTAAAACATATAGAAAGAAGTAAAAATACATCACGGTAAATAATTTGTATAACAGCTGGCTATTTCTTCATCTTTTATGTTATTTCTTCAATAATAGAACGTGACATGAATGAAAGAGGTTAAAAAAAGGTTTTAACCTTCTTGCATGAATAGACTATGATCATCGAGAATCATTGCAGATTATTTTTAGCTTCACTTCAATTCTATTTTGAGCTAATATCGAGACAGGAAAGTAAGATTTTACAAATTAGTATTTCAAAAATGCATAGGCTTGGTCCTTCAGTGGTGTTTTTCAAATTTTATCATACATGTAGAAGTTAAAGGTTGCAATCTATTTATTACATAGCAATATTTGACACCAAGGTTATTTTCAATGCAAGGATATAATTTTTGTACATTTGTCCCATGATGATTCAAACTGTGTTTTGCATTTGGACCTGACTTAAAAACCTACCCTACAATGCCATTTAGTTTTGTCTACAATACAGTGAAATCCACTCATATGTCATTACTGAGAGTAATTATTCAAGTGTTGCCATGCCGACACAACGGTCAACCAATCATAGCTCAGGATATCAGTTGATTACACCATGTCAAGTGCTTTGTAAACATGGTAACATGGATAAAGACCTTAAGTTATTGCTGCACATTTTTTTTCTAATGAGAAGTCAGATTTGTGTGTAATGAAAGAATAAAATTCCTTAGCTTTCACCTTCAGAAGATACATGCCCGTAGCCAGGGGGGGTTCGGGGGGTTCGGAAGAACCCCCCCACAAGGCTCAAAGGTCCACTTTTTGGTCCACTTTTTATGTAAAGGTCCACTTTTTGGTCCACATTTTATGTAAAGGTCCACTTTTTGGTCCACATTTTATGTAAAGGTCCAAGTTTTTTCTTGAAAAGATGGACTGGAATCGTAGAAAAACTGCTCTCTTTGTCATTGAATAAAAATTTATCTCTGATTTTCTCTTGGAAATCCTCTCAAAAATGCACGAAATGCCATTTTAGAAGGTTCATTTTTCAAAATTTTCCGGGGGAGCATGCCCCCGGACCCCCCTAGGAACCTCGCGCCTTCGGCGCTCGAGGTCCACTCAAGCAGTGGGACGAACCCCCCCATTCAAAATCCTGGCTACGGGCATGAGATAGTGTCTACTAAATAGACAACATGTTCCTTTCCTTTTCTGCTGTACAGACCAGTCACCTGGAAACATTTAAGATTGCTCAGTCCACCATGAAATCCCAAATTCCCCCTGCTGTCAGCCCACCTCAGAATGCAGTCCTCTACACAGCAGGGAGGCTGACAGCAGGCCTAACTACTAATGAAGATGTAGGACAGCTAGTCCAGCAAAAAGTATGAAAGTATGAAATCAAAAACTCATGTGCTCCAAGAGCAAACATTTGCCAAGTCAACATATAATGACTATTGTAATCTTTGTACTTAGGCTACACCAATTTAATTTCTTGGTTAACGGATTCACCCGCTTCATTTTTTTCTGATTTGCAAATAAAAATAAAAATTCAGAATCAACTGCAAAATGCTCATATTTTGCCCTGAACAGTTGAAAACAGTCCTTTTCATCCTAGTTGTTACAGCTATTCCATCTTTCAATGCAATGGTATCATTAAAAGTTCAAAATTCATTGTTTAGATTTTGAACCAGCCTGGTGTGTTGACTTCATGGGTCCTATTGTACCATTTTAGGCCATAATAGGATGCCTAGGCCTGTTTTTATTTTTATTTTTTTTCGCCCGCCCGCTCCATTATTTTTCTAGAAAAATCCGTTAACCAAGAAATTAAATTGGTGTGGCCTTACTAGTATTGTCTTTTTTGACTGACTCAAGGATGTACAACCATCCTCATGTAATCTACAGCTTCAAGGATGCTATACAAGTCATTGTACTTTGAAAGGAACCGACTGAAAGGTTAAAATGAATGACTCTTCCCTCAGGCTAAAGCCTAGATACATTGTATAAGCAGAGGTTGTTAACAAATCTTCCTGACTTGTAAGAACCTACAACAGGTGATCATCTCTCAGGTGTGGCAGGTTGCCATGGTAACCAAAAAAACAAACAATGATGTGTGTAAAGGACATTGTCATTTCAAACAAGCAGCCCTAATTTTGTTTTGTTGGTTGGTATTCCATCAAAATAAAACAATATGAATAGCCTATAATTTGATGAGAAAAGGATCCATGCAAGGAAGTAGCAATCATTTAACGTGAAGAGGATTTTCCAGTGTAAAAGGTGACATACCTTTTGATGTATTAGATAACAAGAGCTGTATCTGTAACTAGATGCAAGAACACTGTCTGCAAGGTTGCCATTCATCTGGAAAAATGTGTTACTTTTATAGAAACCAGTAGAGCTCATTATGAACACAGACCAGTCAATTAGTTCACTCTTTTTGGAGACAAATCTTGCAGATGTAGTATCATTGATTTATCATTATAGCTCCATAAAAGCAGATACCAGGTGATATTCTATTGTCCTATTTGGACCTTCTTGTATACCAATGTCCTGTACATGCAGGTAAAAGACCATTGTTCATACTCAGTCATTATTGTATAGTCAGGTAGGCCTGTTAATGTCCCAAATTTTGCCAGTGTCACAGGTGATGAAAAATTCATATCCTAACCATCTCAAATTGATACGTCTGTGATAATGCCACAGAAATCAGGTCCCCAGAGAGCTGTTATCCCCCAGCTTCAGTCACGTCAGGTTATGAAATGCACAAAGTGGTCTAAAGCTTTTGCCATGAAATATTGGCTTTTGAGGTTGATAGCAAAATAAAATGTGTAAAACGCTTTTCCAATGCCAAAAAGATAAGCATATAAAACAATCACAATAATTCCTATTATGAATTTTTTTCGGAAACTGTCTTGTAATTGTTAATTTCATTATGATTCCTTTGTGTATAATATGTACAATGCAGAAATTCTTGCATTACCAAAGAATTGAAACAGGTGCCTGGACAAAATGATACGCCTTTGGTCTGCTCCAGTGCGACAGAATTACACAATCAGAATCATGACATGATGTAAAATTGTCTTGTAATTGTAGTTTTCATCATCATGATTCCTTTGTGTGCAATACATTGCAGAAATTCTTGCATCACCAAAGAATTGAAACAGGTGCCAGGACAAAATGATACGGCTTTGGCCCGCCCCAGTGCGACAGTGACCTGTGAACGTGGGTTCAGACTGCCCATTCTTCCCGACCCCTCATGTGACTGTGGTTACCCTGTGCGTGACTTGTTTAGCCCGTGTTATTGTTGTTGTTGTCATGACGAGGGGCGGGGTCACTGGGGGCTGATTACAAGGTAAACGCCCGTGCCAGGTAGCGAGCCTTGCAGACGACACGCCCCAGAGATCCCCTATTGTGGGCCGTTTGAAAGGATGAGAGTCTCCTAGCAGGACAGGTATAAACTAAGGATTGTGGTTTGGCCTCTGTCAACAGTCTGATCCTTAACCCTACCTGTGTCCTGGGCCAATTATAGAGCCTTAGGTGCTTCTTTCACTGGCAGGGTTTAATCGTACATCAGATAGGCACAGACCAGGCATCTCTACAGGACATTAGTTTTCTTCTGGTTCTAGAACAGAAACAAAGACCCAAATTGGAATACATGATAATTGTTGACTGCCTTCTAGTTACCTCCATGAAAAATGGAGGTATTGTTTCTAAATGTGTTTCATTATTTCATAAAAAGTCTTTAAATATTTGCTGTTCTTAGCTTCACATCAAGACATAGTAAATATACTTAATACTTGATATGTGTAGTTTACATTGTAGCTTATGTTTGGTTTAATACTTACAATCTGAATGAAGCTTGTATAAAAATTAATGTACTTCATTAAAAGAAAGAAAAGTAGATGTTAACCAGTAAATTTTCATTGGTATTGTGCAAGGAAAAATTGCTAACAACTCTGAGGATCAAGATACCCATGTGGCCTGATTATATGGTGATACATTGTTTGATATGGAAACCATATCAGGCAAATCAACTTTTCCAAATATTTGCAGTGATCTTGATACAGCATGTTGAGCTGATAATACCTACCTTTGTTGTTGGTTACCTCGATATCTCCATAACAGAGGATGATCCAAGTGACTCTGTATCATGTACTGTGTGTGGAGGGATGTTCCACAGAATTATTGCAGGGGTGAAGCATTTAGTATTGGCATATTCCTCAGAAAATAACCTGGTATAACTCCAACTTTACAACTTATGTAAATCCAAAATTTCTAAAAGCCCAATAAAGTAATTAAGGTAACATTGTTTGGGTTACAGTTTGTTGTATTCCCTCTGTTGGCAACTTGTTATGTAATCTTGAAAACCCCTTCATTTCTATTCAAATTAAGCTGATAGACAAACAGGTGGTTGCTGTTAAATGATTGACAGGTGGTTGCTAGGTAACAGGTGGTTAGTGATAATGTATGCCTTCAGTGCAGGAAATCCTGACCTTGAAATAGAGATAGACCATAAATATACAGGAATTCAAACTATCTGTCCCTGTATAGCTTTTGAAAGGATGAAGTTAAGAACATCAATGATACTATAGGAAAATGTTTGTGCAGTAAGGATGATCTTATACATGTACACTTGCTGACATGCAAAAGCCCAGCAAAGCAGCATATTGCTTCTTTGCAATACTTTTACTTTATTCCTTCTATGTGTTGTGTGAGAGCAATTGTGATTGAAGGATTTGTTGTTTAGTTTGTGTTGGACTGTCCATCCAGGTTGATTGGTTAACTGGTTTATTGATTACTATTTGATTATTTTTCCCAGATACAGTGCCCATGCGACTACGTGCCCTGCCCCAGTCCTTCTGGCAGCAGCCCAACAACATGAACAACAATTCCCCCGGCAGTCTGTACCCTGTCCTGCCTCCTGTTGTCAACAAGGAAGTCTCCGGTATGTAAGACTAAATTCTCTTGGTCAAGTTTACTACAGTACTGTACTGACAGACTTCCAATGGGATCCTCATGTCCAGACGATCTTTTTATGGCCTTAGAAAGAAAAAGCATAGTAAAATCAGGAAATATATGATGAAAAGAGAACAATAATAGCATACTTTTATTGCTTACATTTTTACTTGATTTTGCCAAACATGCTGCCCCAATGGCAGAGATTGAGTGAATGAGTGATTTGGGTCATGATTACACTACAGAGCACTTTGTGAGACATTGAAACATATTATGGTGTTGTTTTCAAAGACAACAGTTACTGTAGCATCCAAAGAATGTTTACTATGTAAGTACTAATGTGTGAATGTTTTAATGTACTGTAGATGTGGTAGAATTGCACGTAGTGATGGGTTTGTTTGGCCATGGCACAGATGAATATCTAGGCCAGGTTGTGTCTGTTCCTACAGAGATCCGACCAGTCACGCCACCAGAGGAGCGAACCGAGACAGACCAACAGGAAAGGACCGGCAGAAAGGAGGAAGAAACTGTCGTAACAAAGCCAGAAAAAACTGTGGAGAAGGTCGCAGTTAAGGAAGACAAAGAAAAAACTGAGAAAGAAAAATCTGAGAAAGAAAAAACTGAGAAAGAAAAAACTGAAAAAGAAGTGAAGAAGGAAAAGATAGATCTTGTTGAGGAGGGTGTGACGGGTGCGACTGTAACCGTGACCACGACAGCGCCGCCCAGAACACGGACTGTGAGAACTGTCACCTCAACCGTCCCTAACACAGACCTGCTCTTCAGCTTGTTCGATGGAGTCGACCCTGAAACAAAGAGACAAACAGTCAAGTTGAAAAGGGGAAGGTAAGGGAACTGACGTGTTTACTCCCTAAAAATAGACACAGATAAGGACGTACATTTCTAATTTTAGACTCATTGGAAAACATGTTTTGAAAGTACCAATCATGGTATCATAATTTTCAATGTGGGAGAGAAATTTACACAGCTAGCTCAAATTTTATTGGAGACATGTGTAAAACAATAGTTGTTAAGAAAATGGTAACAATGCATAAATAGTTCTTACCAAGTGTTATTATCTCCAAAAATAATTTCATGAGGTTTGTAGGACATAGAGATTTTCTTCTTACACAACCAGTACTGTATCTCACTTGCTTACATTTTTATGTCTATCTATAGATGCTCTGAGGAAGGTGTCTGATAGACACCAAAATGTAAGCAGGAGAGTTACAGTACGGGTTGTGGAAGAAGAAAATCTCTATATCCCAAGTGTTGTTATATTATTATGTTTGTAATTAATGAGAGATGTCTCCTAACTCGTCTTCGGCTCATTTGTTAGACCAAAGAGAATACACCTGGAGGGGATGAACGCACCGCGACCCCGTTCCCAAGACAACGACCCCTACATGGTGGACAACATTGCAGAGAGACTGTTCCCCGTGCTGTCGTTAGAGAACCGCAAACAGAACACCAACCCTGCCAACCCTAACGTCACCACCACGCTGCACTACATCACGCTCAACGGGGAGGACGAGAAGTCATCCGTGTCGCTCCCGGCAGTCAGAGTGGAGACCAACTACTCACAGATGTTGTCAGAACTTGTCATGCACATATAGCGCCGGAACAGCATGGGACGTTTGGTTTCACTGAAGCACACTGCACATTTGATGATTGTTGTGTTCTCTCCAAAATGTCAGATTTGACAGTGGTTGCTGTGATGATTAGTACCTGATCCTGTCTGTTGTTCTGTAGACTATCTAGCATAGGTGTAATTCTGTTTCTCTTTCTTTTCCTTTTATGTACATGTCAAATTTTAGGGACCAAAATTTTCTATCCTCTTTGAAACTTGGCCAATCACTGTCACTGGCCTGCAGTTCCATCTGTTGATGCTAGAGGACACTGTTTCACAAAGTACATGTACATTCTATTTCTTAGCGATTTTAGACAATTTTGTTTTTCGTGAGAAATCTAAAATTTTTGTATCAAGTTATAGATCAGTATTGCAAGATTTGATACTAGAAGTTTGTTGCTGTGCAAGATGTATAGATTTTTTTGCCTAAATGTTTGTGTTTTATCTGATAGGAATTAATGTGCAATATTCCTCTGGGAGGAAAATGTACACTAGTTCCTGAAAAATCAAAGTATTAATAGATTGTTGAAATATTTGAGTGTATGAGACTGTATAGAATGTACAGTATAAGATGTCTAATGTACTTGTGTATGTAGATATTGAGATATTTTGCTGTGACTTTGTCTCCTGTGTATACACATCTAGATGTATATAGTATATTACAATACAAAAAAAAATAATGGTTTAGATATTTCAAAGTTATCTATTAACATGAATTTTCTGTAAAGTTTTCAAAACAGTGTTTTATTGAAATGTTTGTCTAAACTGAAGAAGTTCAATTTTTATATATTTGAAGAAAAAAAAGAACTTGCATAAAAAGAAGAGATTTTATTGAGAAAAAGTTTTGTAAATCTACCAGTTTTAAGCTTGTGGCATACAGCACGAGATATGCCATACAGCACAAGATGTACTGGAACACTAAAAGAAAAAGAGTACTTATTGTTCAAAAGGACATTCCTATCTGTTTGGATACATGAACTCAATCAAATCATGCAGCTTGTCAACAGGTCTGTTTCATATGGTGTAGAAAATTGAAAGTGTGATTTACTAATATAAAAAGGTTACAATATATGCTTCTACATTCCAGCTTTGGGTTGAACCTTAAGGTATATTGGATGTGTTTGACAAATCCTTGTTTGTGGAAAGCTATATTCTCTACACATCAGATTTTTTCACAGTATGATGCATGTCAAGCAAGCATAACCTGAAATAAATTCATCAGATAGTTACTTAGCCCGTTGGTCCTCACTGTTTTATCTAATTGTAGGCTTTACAATAATGTTACAATGTAGATAGCAGTCAGTCAGACTGTTGAGTTCTGAATCAACGTCAAAATTTATTAGCCATCAATTTTTACATCTCATGGGAACAGACATGAACAATTAATGAAAAAAAAAACAACATCAGCAGTAAAACTTCCACACAGTGCAACTACCAAAGTCATAATCTCTAAAATCTGCCTCGGCAAGATTAACAAACCAGCATGTCTGATTCCCTGTAATTATGGTACAAAAATATGAAAATTTGCAGAAATATGCAAAACAATTGATATTATACTTCACACACAATTCATTTGCAAATCAATTCTGTACAGCAATGGCCAATGCTTTTTGACCCTTGATCCCTTTGTTTCCTTACTTATAGACAAGTCCTGTTAGTCGTGGTTTGTCATAAAAATAGATCCTATAGATAAAGCATATCAATTTTACTTGTCATTCTTTCCACATAGAGCTTCCTATTAGTTTTGCAACTGGGGACAAGTCTAAAAACGTCTCAGATCTTTCTATACTCCAGTCTCTGTAGCTTGCTGAATCGTGGTATCACATACATTTACACTTGGTACACAGACTAACAACACCGTAATATTCCATCATGATGGTAATATTGTAACAAGCTATGCCTCTTCACAGTTGTGGTACATTAACAAAGCACAGAAGCTGTAGTGTTCTTTCCATGCAATGAAACTGCATCTACAAAGGGAGATTGTACTTGAAGCCAGAAATGCAGGAAGGAAATACTTTACAACATTCTCCTTGCCAATGCAGGTGCAACATGCAAAAGCGGCAAGAATGAGTGGTACATCACAATGACACCTGAAGCAGAATAATCCTTCACCACACACATTTTCACAAGTCCAACTTGTGTAGACACAATACTGTGGTCTGTGGGGCCATGCTCAATGTACAAAAAGTAGGATCTGTTGGGCTTCATTTCTGGGCATTTTTAGGTCCAAGACTGACTCAGTGTATCATAAACTGTGCTATCAAGGTTGTAATCTGAGACTTTAACAGTGTAATAATTTTGGCAAATTTGTTATGACATTCATGTACTACTGCCAGAGGATATGCATACTGAAGACAAAGCTTGTCCTACCAGTATTTACTTAAAACCAATCATGACTTGAACTGTTGTTCGATACAACAAATAGCTTTATCTGCCTCAGAAATGCACGACCACAAAATGCCAGCATAAAACATAACACTGCTGAACAGAAATACTGCATGGAAACAAGGACTTTCCAACTAGGTGACATAGCAAGTTTTATGAATCAAAAGGCCAGCACTAGTGTATAGTAACTAACCATGTCCCCTCCCAACAAGCCATGATAGCAGTAGCAAGCACGTCGGCAGAACGTACTGTGCCTGCGCAGAACCCTGTATTTTCACGGTTTTCGGTGGATTTTTGGTCAACGTTGTATCAAAATTTTGCCTTTTGCAGAAGATATCTTTTTCGACATAACATTTGGAAACTACAGACGGAGTGTTAACCTTATATGCGCGAATACGACCTTATATGAGACGTTCTACCGAAATGCTATGCACAATACACTACGGGTTTAACGCAGGTGCAGTACTTCTGCCGACGTGCTGCAGTAGCAGGTAAAAACCCCTTTTTCCAACAGACTAGTGTTATTAAAATCATCTGGCACAATAGTTCATTTTTCCCTTTAAAAATAAGTGCAATGATTTGTGAAGTGTCAGCATAGTTTTAACTGCATCTTTTATCAGCTACAAGCTCTTTGGCTGCACATGATTCTTAGTAACCTTATTAAGGCACTTGGACTTTTTGAGTTTGGAACTCTCCATATCTCTGTAGGTTAAAATTATGCACATGCCAATGTGAATCCTGTGGCTCACTCAGTTCTACTTCAAATGTCCCCGATTCTAAACCATTACAAAATACATTGACATGTGCAATTGTGTCTCTTTTTTCAGCCGAACTTTTTTTCACTCTTGCATCAGTTTTGGGGTGACCAGAAGATAAAATCACATAAAATTTTTTGTGCTGCTGTAATCGTTTATTGCATCTGATGCAAATGTATCTGTGAATGCTTTAAAATCAACTGACGCATGAGCATGCATCATAAACATCTGGATAGCTTCTGCCACAATAAAATTCCAACATTTTTACATCACAGTCTAAAACCACTCAGACAAATTTACAACATGTTAAAAACAGTAAGCCTTCCACTTTGCCAAAGTGGTTGAAATATAAAATGCGGAATGGTATCCATCCCGATTTGCAGCAGAGAATGTCCCCATGATTTTCAACGTCTAAGAGAAACATGCATAAAAGTAACACTTTTGAGAACTTACAGTCACAACAAAATAAAAGCCATGTTTGTTTGGTGATGTGAACCAGATACAACAATTCAGTAGATTTAAACTTGTCAATGTGACTACTCTGTAGGTGATACAATGTTACTATCAAAGACTAATTTATCTTTCTCCACATGACTACACTCTGTGGTGACAACATGAAATGATGGTGGTAAGCGACCAAACTTCAGATACAATATACATTTGGAATTTTCCAACTCTTCTCAAAATGAACAACTGAACTACTTCTAGACACTCACAAATCTGAGTGTGAGATCCAAAAATGTGACACATTCATATTGAGAAAAGTTGCAAATTCCCCCCAAAAATGTGTAAGTCTGAATCCACTTTGCTGAAAATGAAGTGTAGTCGCCTACCACCAGAGATGAATTTCCAGACTAACATGACATGATCAATCCCATAGTTCCCTGTACTATACAGTGGTCGTCTCGAGCTCCTGGCTGCGCGACCGTTTGGGCGTGGCTGCGGGCGGCGGTTCCTCCTCCTGCCGCTCCGGCGTTCTCTCGATCACCGCCGATCTGGCCTGATGCTCGCGATACTTCTTACCAAACGCTCGACCCAGTGAGCCCTACAACAGTACAACAGTACTTAGTGTCAACAGCTGTGCTAACCTGAAAGATGTACATGATGGGAAATGCAATCTTCAGGTGACAAGAATGCTGAACACAGATGAAAAACAAAATTTGTTACCCATATTGTAAGTAACCCTGGTGTCTAGTCTATCATGGTTGGGATGGACTATTTGGAGCTGTAGTAGATTTCCCCCTCCCAGCTGAAATGGCTGCCTAGTGGAAGTTTTGCGTCTGTAGGAGTTTTACATGGCAGGAACTCCTGTCATACAAAACCTACCAGGGAGCCTAGCTGAGTAGCCTAGCTTCAGGCCCTAAGAGAGCCATCCCAAACCACAATAGACTGGATTCCAGGCTGTGTTTGTACATTCCAAACATGATAGAGAGAACCCCGTACCCTAAAGCTCCTCCTGAAGCTGCCCTTTTTCTCCTCGTCTGAAGCTGCCTGATGGTTGGACCTGCCGAACCCTGACCTCCCCACCGACCCCGCTGAGCTCGGGCGCGATGACAACACGGAGGCAGACTTGGGCCGCGTGCTGCTGTCACCTCCGCCGGACGCTGCTGCTAACGCCGCCCTGGAATATACACTTAGTGTCAGCTGTCTGATCTTGTACCAGTAAAGATATGCAAGACATTCAGCATTGTATCGTGGGGTAGATTAAAATGGTGGTACATGTATTGGTAATTTACAGGTTAAAATACAATGCAATTAGTAAAGGGATGCTGCGAACTTGATATTATGTTGTTAGGGTATTGGACAGGATCATGTTAACAGTTTAAAAAGGTAGAATGCTAGTTATTAGTTATCCTTAGTTAGAGAGTGTTCTTTTTAAGTTAAAGAGCAGATTACTTTGGGAATAGATGGGTTCAAATGTTAGTAATTAGTTCTGGATTAAAGGAACTTTGTGTTTTGATGTCAGCCTAATACATTTGTACATTTAGTTCATTTTGTCTGCATCAAAACATTTTCTTAAGTTTGACATGAGTAGATTCTTTATTCAAAAACATGCTCTACTTTTTCAACATCAGAAAACATCTGTTTTGAGTCAGACAATATAAGAAATAGCCACCACCAAAACATTGATGGTGCCATGAGAGTGAGTTGCCTCCCCACTGTAATATAGCCCAGCTTACCCGCACACCAAAGCATTGCCACCAGCATGCTGTATAAGAGACCTTACGTTCCCCAGCTAACCCTGAACCCAGCACACCGCGGCTAGTTATAAACATGCCGTGTGCTCACCAGATCGACTGCAGTGAGCTACTAATGGTTACCCTGCCATCCACCTCACGGGACTCCCGTTTCGCTTTTGTCCTACAGCGTAAAGTCAGACTCAGTAAAGAGACTCTTTTTACACAACCAAGTGTTTTATTCACAGCCGATGTTTCAGTGACCGTCTGTCACCTTCCTCAGGACAATTCTGACTAGTCGGCTGTGAATAAAAGACTTGGTTGTGTAAAAAGAGTCTCTTTACTCAGTATCTTATCAACCTGATGAAACTATTCACGGACGTAAAGTCAGGCGTTTAGGTCACCAGCTAGTTAAATACATCATTTGTTAAAAATTATTGTTTCTTGAGTGGTTAGTTGTTTGATTATTTTCTTACAAGGGGCTATTTAGAGCAACACAGGTATCTTCTATTTTTGTGAGTGCTAACTTACACAATGATTATGATGAAATTACAACTTTTAAACAAACTTAAAATCAAAATCATGCCTGCTAAAAAAGTGAATTAAGACCTTGGAATATACACAGAATGGGATTTGACAGAATATTAGACATCACATTTTGAGTTGTAATTATAGAAGAAATTAAGGAGTGCAAAGTTTTCAGCACTACAATATGGATGGACGTTTAAACTTTCAAAGTACATTCTGAGCGAGATCACAACATTAAATGGTCATTATCATGAATTCTGTTATCTGAAAATGGATTAGTGACTTATTTGAAAAGTTGAGAGATGAAGACTTTATAATGTTGAATATTATTATTGTTTCATGATCAGTTAACATTAGACCCCTCCACCAAGGGTTGACAAGACTATTCCTCCACCAATCACCACCTTGCTTACCGCCAGCGCTGCCTCCAGGTTGTCCTACTGTGTGCCTGACTCCCTGCCATCACTGTGAGTGTGGCTCTACTCGTGTGCAACCACAAACCACAACCACAGCAAAAACAAACAAGCCATGTCCGGTCAAAAAACAAAAACTTATCAGCAACAGAAAACAAAAAAAAGCTTTATCCACCTTACCCAACAGTCTTCCCCACCATGCACTACGTTCATTCACTGTATCATGTCTTCTGTAGTAGACTATGTCATGCATGTACCTTAGGCCACTTATGAAGTCTTGTCAGGAGAGTTTCCACCATCATGCAAGCTGTGTGGATGTGTGTTGTGTACATGTACAGAAGAAGGCAAGGAGGAGAGACACTATAGCACTAGAACTTGCATTTTGCAGTTTTAAGATTTTTGCTTAAATTGTATCTTCAAAAAGTTTGAGTTCAGAAGGTACAGAAAAAAATACTAACTGCATTTTGTTTTGTTGTAGGAATCAGCTGGCATTGAGAACTGTTTTGTAAGCAGAATTTTTCCTCAGACTGAATTTGGGGTCGTGTGGCGTAATGGCAGAGTATTCGGCTGAGAACCAAGAGGTCCCTGGTTCGAATCCTGCCAAGTCACCAATGTTGTGCTCCCAGGAAAGGCACTTAACACGACTTTCCTCACTTCAATCAGGTGAAATTGAGTATGCCAGAATGATCATTATCATGAACATGGGCATTAAAGGAAACCCAATGTCTCTCCTCCCCTTCCTCCATACACCAGGCCCATGGCAGTGTGTAATGTGAGTGTTATCCAGTCCCCACCTTGCAGGCATGACCAGTGAGTTTAACTCTGTGGTCAGGTGTCTCCTGATGATGGTTTTGGTGGGCGGGATCCCCAGGGCCGTTGCCATGGCGTCGGCATTGAATGACGGCTCCAGCACCAGCAGCGCTCCGTGCACCCCGCTCTCTGCTAGGTTGTTTGAATACTCCTGGAAAACACATCAAGAACACATTTTCAAACCAGTGCAAGTAGCTGGTGTGTTACACTAAAGGGCAGTTATACCGGCTATGCAGATACAGATACAGATCTGAAGTTTCATAGAGATGTAGTGTTGAAGACATGTCCAGAGTTGGTGATCTTCAAAGCACCAGTGTAGCAGAGTCATCAGCAAGTTGATGTTGGCTACAGACCTAAATCCCAAAGACAAGAAAGTTTGTCTCTACATGTACCTTATCTACATTCATGTGTCCGTAGGTCCCAAACACCTTTCTTCTAACAATTTTCTAAACACATGTACAGGCTTTAGTCCTACATGTATGAGGAAGAGTACATGTTTCACATTGGATTAACCAGCATTTTACAAGCACTGAAATGACATGGCAAATTGCATACAGAAAACAGCCAGTGAAGAGATACAGACGGCACCAACTGTGGTTCACTGTTTTATGCTCAAAGACATGTTTTGTGTTGGAAGTCACAGTTTGGAATCTGTTTCAAAGAAATATCTTGAGTGTATTCTTGGTAAAAGTGGGCAATACAAAGTTTTTTAGATCAGGCATACTTAGTCTAAAATTAATGACCTTCCAGTTTTTCTTTCATTTTCTTGTATCTGAGGATTGCTAGCAAAGTTTTTGTTGCATTTCATTTGTGTCAATAATAGTTCAGCCACAAGTATCTTGAGATGGCACCAAACATATTGAGTCAATGATGCTTACAGCTGTAAAGATGTTAATACTTTGTCATTTTCATGTGAATTGCAACAGGAGAAAGCTATTGACAGGTTGCCTTGTGTCCACCTCCACCACCCACCCAGAGAGGGTAACCTGTAATGTTAAACACCATAAGCCTGTCACCAGGGTGGAATGGGAGCAATAATCATTCACACTAACCCACAGGAAGGGAATTCCCCTAGGATACATCTGGAAAAGGGAGAAGACTTTGGTTAGACTCTTTTTTTCAGCATGCACATGCCTGGGGATGGCTTTGGGAGGGGCATTCTGTTCTCTGGAGAGGTACCACCTCAAGATATGAGTTTTGGCAGGCCAATCAACAAAGGGCAAAATTGATGGGGAATCATGTGTCAGCCATACATACCAGTGTGACTTTAGGTACTTGACATTGCTAAGTCCCTGTGATGAACAGGAGGAAAGGCTGACAGTACCTGCTATACTGTATACACTATATGGAAAACACAATATATTCTTTCTAAAAGTATAAAATAATTTTTCATAATATACATTGTATACATAGTATTATCCTGTTTTGACTGCAAGGTTTCTGTTTATATCGGATATTGTCCTGATTTTCTATGGTTTTGAATCGATTTGATGTTAAGATCAAGCAATCCTGTGACAGTAGATCACAGAACTAAGTGTATATCATCAGCAATATTGTGTTACCAGCAGTGTCTAGAATATTGTAGGCAGAAAAGGTGACAACATGTTCAACCCTTAGTCTTCTGGCCACTTTTGATTCATTCCTGAGGCCATCACGCTTCCAACTTCCAGAATGTCAGCGAGTAAAGGATTCATCTGACAAAGGTTGACTTCAACTGAAAATTCATGGTGAGTTTGTTCCCATTTGGATGAAAGCTAACTAAAAGTTCACCATTACAGTATGTACAACCCACCTTCAGGTCTATGTTCTGTGCCCATTTGATGAGCCTTTGATTGGTCCACACCAGAGGGTCACAGTCTATGTCTTCACACTGCAACCTCCTTTCATGAAGAGCCTGCATTAACAGAAAAAAAACTGTATTGAGCAACTGGCAGCCTTTTCAACTAGCTCTGCAACATGGATAGCTCTGGACCAAATTCAGTGAGAATCTTTCTGAAGAAAAAAAAGTGGGCAATACAATGGAGATGAATTTGGTTAGAGTAAACTTAGACTTTTAATAAATAGTTTATTATTACACAGCTTTTACTTAATGTTACATAAGTTACAGTCTAAGATTATGCACCTACAGAAAAGAAACTGTATAAAGCTTCAGGAAACTACTCTGTGATGTGCTTTGGACTGAACTGCATCAGTCTACCTAAAGCCTGGACTAAGAGAATTAGCAACTCGTTCCTTCATTGCGCTGTTCGCCTCTATAATAAGACAATTCAGCAGTAGTGTCATATATATAGTACCTAGCTAAATCCTACGTGATAACTGCATATTGTGCATATATTTTAATTGTGTAATCGTCTTCGAATATGTCTTAATAGTGTGTTTGCCTATGTTGTTTCATGTGCACAATGAAGAGTGTCACAAATCATTGTTTTTAATGCTCTATGTACTAAGGAAGAAATTCGGGTATTTGCCTGCGTGAGCCTTACCAAATAAAATTTTTGACATTACAGAGTCTAAGAACCTGCTGATCTCACCTCCTTGTCAAACTTGACCCTCCGTAGGAAGTCAATGCCGTGCAGCAGCGACACCTGGTGGAACTTCCTGGAAATGCTGAGGTACTTCTCCAGGTCCTTGCGGGTGAGTGTGGCCAGCACACGCCCGTCCACCAGGAGGGACTCGAACGCCGGGCGGTACTGAGGCAGGCCCAGGTCCGTCAGCCAGGTCCTCGACACCCAGCGGTGGTCCATCTGGGAGGCTTTACTGTACTTACTGCAAGGCAAGAGTATTTGATTTGATTATTGAAATTGCAACAGTGCAATACATGTGGGACACAGGCAGCTGTTGCTGGTGTTGTGTCTCACACATAGAAACAAATACAGGACAGACAATACTCATTTTCACTTGAGTTAAGTGGGGAAAGTTGTGTAAAGTGCCTTTCCCAAGGGTACAAGATTGGTGTCAGGACTCGAACCCAGGACCTCTTGGTTCAGAGTCGGGCACTGTGCCGTTGCGCCACATGACCCCACAGAGTATAGGAGAGGTTATCAGCTTGTTCAGCTTTTAAGCAAGTCATACATTCCTCACAACCTCTCCATGCAAAATGGCCAAATTAACAATTATCAGACCCATCCTACAATATACATGTAGAGTGTACAAAAACATGCAGGCACTATATTTCTGGTAAACCCCGTGTAAAACAACAATGCCATGATCATAAAAGCAGCTTAATAACTTCAAGAAGCATGATACATGACATTATGAGTCTGCAGATGACTCCATCCTGGCAAAGAAAATGGTCAGTGGATGTGACAAAAATGGGCATCATGCTTGAAGTTAGAGATGCAAGGCTTAGTCATACAATATACAGGTACAAAATGTAATATAACAAGCAATGGCTGCATGTCTGCAAAGCTGGACCAGGTGTGTTATGCTGAAGGGCAGATGTACCAGTTGACCAATACAGAAATGATAAATATATGAGTTATGATTATCTTATAATAAGTACATGATATGTACTTCTGAAAGTAAGAAGCATAGATGCACATGTTATATGGACTAAGGGAATCCATTCAAACAATGGTCATGTATGTGAAACAAAGTTATGAATACAAAGTTTTGACATTCAACATGAACATTATATTTTAGAGCTGAATACACAGAGAATAGAAGACAAGGCACAGATATATGTACAGGCTGACAACAGTATCAACTAGTGGTAGGTGCACTTACTCCAGTACAAGCCTCCCTATGTAAGCCTCTCTAGGTAAGCAGTAAGTGGTGAAGACAGACAAAAGTAAGCATTGTCATTAGGAAAATCAAACACAGTTTAGACACATATGCAGTTATAAGACATACACATGGAACAATATCAACAGTTTTCAATGGTGCAAACCATGCAAACTTGCCACAGATTAAATAGAGCAGAGTCAAAACAGGAATTCACCTTTGGCAATTATTAATAAACAAGCTACATACAAGGTCATGATATCACATTAAGATATTAAAAACCACATGTAGTAATGACAAGATAAGAGTAATAGTATTTTACTATATATGGCTGATAGATTTCTTACAACTATAAAATGCATGATAAATATGTCCTTTAAATATCTGCACAGCTGCAATAGAAGGCATGCATTATAAAAAGTAGAAGCACTGTAATATTAGAGTACACAGTCTGACAAACAATGTCAGAAAGTTCTAACTTATGCCTGAAGAATTTTAACAGCAGGATCAGGAAATGCTTGAGATAACCTGTTGTCTGGAGGTGGGACCAACCTTTCCTTTTAAACTGTCTCCAAGGTACAGGACCACTCATGGCAAAATGCTGATCAATTCATAGTCTCAGACACTCAGAAAGAAACACTAACTCTTTTTAGATTTATGCCAAAAAGCAGTTACTTAAGCCACTGGATATGATTTTGGAAACGGTCTAACCTTCACCGACGCACTTTTAGATTTGTCTCTAAACAACTCTTAATACCAAAACTATAAAAACTTTCAATTTTGGAAAGCACCTTCAAGTCTATCAGCAAGGGTCTAAGCTTTTCATCTTTCTTTATAAACCATCAATACCAGTTACCAGTAAGTGCCAGAAATTTCATACTCAATTCTGAAAAAAGGTTGTTGTATTTTTGATGTCCAAAGTTCAGGTAGAGTGACCTGGTGTGTAGAGACAGTTGGAAAGGAAAGGTTACACGTAGGTTGACAATAACTTACTGCTGGATCTCTGGCTGCCTGTGAAACATGCGATACAGGAGACCTCTCCTCATCGGCACAGTAGCGTACCTTAACCACGCACGTGTCAGCAAGAGAGAGAGAGAGTGATACAACCAAAATCAAACTTGTCAACAAAGAAATTCTGTAGGAGGGAAAGCCTATAGCATCTGACAAATAAACATACAGCACAGACCTGAAGACAAAGAGTTTGATACATCTGCCACTTGTAACTGATTAGAATACAGCATAGTTTGTAAACAAGTCAAGGAAAACGAATGTCACACAGTGACTGAGATACAGCATTTCATGCAAGTACTTGTCCAAGTTCCGACTGAAAGAGAATGACCACCAATAAAGAACAGTTTACTGAAAATTAATATATATATAACTGCAAAAGTCATAATAATTATTTTCAGTGTGGATAGGACAGGATATAAGAAAAGAGCATAGATATAGATCCTTAAGTAGCTGACCTCAAAATGAAGTCACTGTGTTTAAGCTAACTATTCAGATAAATTTTGGTATAAACCTAAATATTACATCTTGATATAAGATTATAAAGTTACACAGGGTAAACCATGCTTGTCCTTACCTAGCTTCAGGTGTCCTATGTTCCTCTATAGCTAGCCTGAGTTTCCTGCGATGTAGATTGTTGGTGATTCCCAGCCCTGACTCTAGTTCATGGTCACTTAGGCCCAGCAGCACCTGATCAGGAAGAAAAATAGAACTTTTTACTTTCATTAGCATATGTGCAGGAGGTTGTGGATGGTATAAGATGACAAACAATGCAAAATGCAAAACATTGAACATACATATCCTGTACTATTCTACATATACATAGTATACACAAAATGGACTTTTCTCAGTCCTGTTTAAGACTTGTTTCATGCTCACAGATTTAGCATAAAATTGCAGAGACTATCAGCTGAACTTATGCCCTTTACAAGGCAGACATTTTGCTTATACGGCATCAGAATACTTAGTAATGTTTAAATGTAAGAACACACACAGCAGACGATGCTCTACAGTTACCTTCGTTGCCACTCTTGATGTTCTCTGTACAGTGTTTAGAATACAAACTCATCCATTGAGAAGACACTTATACTGCATCAGAATGCTGCCCTAATACTTGTAAAAACACACACATCAGATGATGTTCTACAGTTACCTTCGTTGCCACTCTTTATGTTCTCTGTACAGTGTTTCGAATACAAACTCATCCATTGAGAAGCAGACACTTCTACTGCATCAGAATTCTGCCCTAATACTTGTAAGAACACACACAACACTACAGATGAGCAAAATGATGTTTTACTGTACCTTGCCACTTTTGATGTTCTCTGTACAGTGTTTAGAGTACATAGGCATGCACATGGTGTACTCGAGCCAGGCCAGGACGTGGTCGGCCTTCCACTGGGTCATGGGCAGCCTGCGTGTCTCCTGCAGCACCTGCAGCCGGTCTGCGGCCTCCTCCTGGTGCAGACTGTGGTGCAGGGTGCCGCGTGTCGGCAGGGTGTAACTGCCGCTCTGGGTCTCTACTTCTGTGGGGACAGTACATGTACCACGGACATTAAAGGCATCCAATGCGATTTCAGAGCAGCAAAACAGGAATTATTCTGAATAAGGCAATCTTCATGATATTGGCACATACTGCTTTACATTAGCACATTTCAATCATTATTTCATACTTTGGGTACTTAAAACTGGAGAAACAAGCCCCGGGATGAGTCCTTTGTTTTCTGGGTGGTACCCTAAAACATGTACTTTCGTTTTCCGTCAGAATTTTGGGTATTTTTGCTCTATGAGGGTCAATATACATTGGGACAGCATGGTTTCAACTCAGTATGTAGATAAGTGACTAGAATATTGACTTTGAAAAAAGTCCTAAAAACTGCACTGGATGCCTTTAGTACAAGTAGATCTTTTAGTGGCTACAAGACAGTATTAAATTTGCAAGACAGTATTAGATTGTCAAGACACTATGATCAAATTGGCAAGACAGTATCACATTGGGGCAGTATTCCACTGTTTGGCTAGTGAAGAAAAAGATACTGGTTCAAACAAGAAAGCCGACATGTCAAAAATAACCCAGGCATAAGCCTCTAGTTGGAAAGTACATGTACATCACTTGGTCATTGTCAATCAACTGGTGTACAAATCAATGACTTTTTGTACAGTTTTCTTCATACACTTGGGTATCCAATGATTGGATTGATTGCACATATTGTTACTAAAATGTAACAACAAGTTCAATTTTGAAAGCAGCTATCATTCAATAGTCACTGAAGGGAACTGAATACTGATAATCCTCAAATACAAACCTTCTAACAAGCTTGGGTCTAAAGACTTGCGATGCTTGTTTCTTCCGAAGACCTTAGAAAGAGACCCAAACTTTTTGGTGCTCTTCTTCTTCTTGGCCCCTCCCAGGCCGCTATCTCTACTGGAGTTGTATCCGTCTGACTTGGAGTCGTCTGGTATATGAACAGGGGAGTATCTGGAGGTGCTGGCAACACTGGGGGGGTTGGAGGACAGACCCTCCTCAGACACGGGAGTTTCCTGGAGGTTACATGATGAAGGTGCAGATTCTGAAAGGAACATTGGAAGTGTTAAAAATAAAGAAGCGCCTATAGCAGATAGCTACATAGATGGGAAAGGCCATGCAGGTGCTTCTAGTCAAGTCAATGCCCTTCTTTATTCTCAATAGCTAATGTTCAGCCATATATATGTGGCTGCTTTTCGACAAGATTGAGTGCTTTCTGGGCTACCACTGTGGTTCTAGTGGCTGAGAAGAGCTGGCAGTCGACATAAGTCAATTAAGTCAAGTCATAGATATATAAAATCAAGGCAACCTTGTTCCAAAATTTGATACATATTTCTTGTCTTGTCTGTTGTATTACATTCAAAGTAATTAATTGCAGCTATACATAGAAATAAAAAATAAATGCCATCAACATCCTTAAACTAAGTGTTAAAAAGCATCTCAGAGTCTGAATACTTGTGCATCAGTACTAAGCTAGAAAAAATTGTACACAAATGCACTGCATTTGTACACATGTACAGTGTCATGTAATGAACTAAACGTACAACTGCACACTTACCTGATATAGGGGTAGAATGTTGTTGAATCGGTGATTGTGTCACATCTTGGACACTGTCTGACAGTGACACTTCAGGCGTGTAGAACTCCACTGAAGTTTTTGACTCGTCCACACTCTGAGGACTGATCTCTACTGACCCCCTGGGGGTAGGTTCTGCAGGGGTGGGGGTGTGCAGCTCCATGGAGCCCCGGGGGGTGGGGAAATCACCGTCCGATGCGTGTAACTGCATGTCCATGGAGCCGCTTGGTGTCTGTCATAGAAACAGTACAGTCCATTTAAAATCCCTCTGTTTCTTATAAAGTCGCAAACAGATATTTTAGCGAAAAAGATACAAGTAACTGGGCTTGTCCTCTCACTCACTCACTCACTCACTCACTCACTCACTCACCCTCACACATTTCCATTTGAACTTTTGCTACAGTCCCTGTCCTTGGTGCTGAACATCTTCCACATATAGGTAAACATATCTGTCCTTGGTGCTGAACACTATCAACATTAACACACACACACACACACACACACACACACACACACACAGGTAGTTATGTCTGTCCTTGGTGTTGAACACCATCCATACACACACACAAACACACAGACACACACACTCACATGAGTGTACGTGTACATGTGTAATGATGCTGCTACATGTAGGACTCTAAGATAAAAGTTGTCAACTCTATACATCAAATTTACGTTAGCTAGCACTCTAAAAGTTGATAAACAAAGCATGAGTAAGTCAGTAAATGCCTGACAGCGTGTAATACTGCTATAATAATTTTGTATGATGAAATACTAAGTGGCAATGAGAGAAGATGCGCCCATGATTACCAGAGAATCGCCGACATGGAGAGATAACTGCAGGTCATCTGAGATGTGGTTATCTTCAGCAGGTAGTGGGCTGGCCTCTCCTAATGTCTCCGGCCGCGGGGAGGACTCAGCTATACTCAGTCTCTGGTGCTGCTGGTTCTGTTCAAGCTGGAGTCTCGTCTGGAGAAACAACAAACACAAACCTCTCAATGTTCAAGTACAAAATATATTTACTTAGACGTTGTTGCTCTAGAATAGCCTGAGTGTCAGACTTTTTAGCTTATTTTCCGCTCCCCATGATCTGCTATGGCCAGTAGCTGCAGATCATGGGGAGAGGACGAAAGGCTGACACTCAGGCTAGCTCTAGAATCCCTACTGATTTATATTTACCTCCATGAAATGTGTCATGGAGGTTATATTTTCAGTTGTGTTTATCTGTCTGTCCGTCCTTCTGTTGGTCAACAAGATAACTCAAGAACGCCTGGATGGATTGATTTCATACTTGGTGTGTTGGTAGGGTGTGACGAAAACTGGAAATGATGAGATTTTGGTCCCCCTAGTGGCTTCCCTTGGTACTGCAGCTCAACTTCCGGTTTTGATATCTCGCGATCTGGACATGCTAGGGTCATGAAATTTTGATGGAAGGTAGCTCTCGTGCTTGGGAAGAAGTCTTATGAGTTTGGGCCCCCTAGCGGCTTGTTCTGGAACTGCAGGGCACTTTCTGGCGAAATGTTTAAAAGCCAATAAGTCCAGACACGAACAACATATTTTCATTATTTTTGGTGTGTAGGTAGCTGAGAGAGAGATGTACATAATTAAATGCAAATTATGCAAATGAGGACTTAATTTGCATAATTAATGAGGAAATTCTATAATTACAGTGTTTTACATTATACTACTTACATACATGTAATGTATGTAACCTATGGCAGGTGGAACTTCAACAGATACTAATTATGCAAATGATGACCTAATTTGCATAATTAATGCGAAAATTCTATGGTTTCGTAATGGTGAATGATGAGACATCTGTAAGTTAATCAAAATTTAACATACATCACGATGCATATATCATGTTAATGCAGAGGTCATTTGCACAATTAAAGAAGAAATTTACATTTACATATCAAGATCATATTTCATGGAGGTATGAGATCTCGGAATTCTAGTTTCACATGATCCTGTTTACTTGGAATGGTATCATTCTGACAAGAAGAAACCAGATGAGAATTGGTAGCCAAATGACAAAGGTGGTAATACTAATTACATGTAAGTTTAATGACATCTGTTTTGGTGAAACACTGATATTTTCTGCCCATCAAATATGACAGATTGGGCAAAATTTTTGTCGCCATCATTGACAAAATTCAGTGAAATGACAGATGCTAGAACATTGCTCTGATATTTTCTTGTAACCACCATTTTGTAACTGTATTTTCTAGTTTAGTCAGTCTACGAGATGTTTAAAACCTATAGCCAACAGTCAATGCATTGATGTAAAGGAAAGACCAGCCGACCTGTGACAGTTCTGTCTCCAGTTTCTTGATGAGTCCTTCCTTCTGGTCCAGCTGCTGCCGGAGGAAGACTGACCTCTCGGCCGAGTCTCGGGCCTTCTTAAGGATCTCCCACTTCTCCTTCTCTGAACCTTCCTTCTCCAGGATCAGCTGTTTGATGCTTTCATCACTTTCCTGGATGACAAGTATGTACAGTGTTTAGTCAGTGGCATATAGATGTATGCTGAAGACCATGTAACTATCATCACTTACAGGCCCTGTTCTCCCTAGGATAAGATTGTCTGGATCAAGCAGATCAGGTCAACTTTACTCCATTGGGAATGCTCCCAATCAGGCTCAGTTGGCTCGACCCAGTCGGCAATGTATTTGGCTCAATCTGGAAAGTTTATCCTAGTGGGAACAGGGCCTTATGTTAAGGTCCCATTTCCAAACCAGGGCAACAGCCAGACAGTTTGCTGGAACGAAAAGTATGATATAAAAGACAAAAACGTTGAAAAAAACTACTCATGAGCACTACATTTTGTATATATTCTGGATATAAATTGTTCATTTTTCCTTCATGCAAACAGCCAGGCAGGGCCCTGGGTTTTGAAATGTGATCTTAGCATTATGCAGCATGGCCATTTTCTAACTGATAGCAGCCATCTGCTTTATAACTGTCAGAAACAAGATCTTGTATGTATACAGTCACATTTTTCCAAGTAACATACATATACCACCACCTTCTTCCACAAGTAACACTGTAAGAATACATGGTGACCATACACTCAGGTATACTGTATGTTGTACATATCCATGTAAATAATGATACATGCATTTTTGTAAAATGTGGATGACATGAACCTCTTTTTTCACCCAGTCACCAGCATGGCAAGTACGCAAAAGCCACTCTGCACAGATATACTGACTGACACCAGCTGATATACATGAGGCTACTTACTACAACTGACTCAGGCCGTCTTATAATCGGAAGCGTCGAAGGGCTTGGTATAGGAGAGTTTTGCTAAAATAGAATAATGGCGCAATAATGTATAAAAGGTGCTGTCTTTTATTATTTACTGTTGTAGCTCTATTTGTACTGTACAATGAACCTAAATTGGCTTTGCATAATCTAGCCTGTCTTTAATCTAAAATCTTCACCTCTTCATTTTCTGTGCACATGCTTTCCATAGTTCTGGTTCCACAGTACACTTAAACAACTCCCTATATACTGGTACATGTAAAAAATGGACCTGACACCACATGCAATACTGTACGACATTTGTATCTAAATGTTAACATTCTGCTTCTCTCAATTTATTGCAGTTGATGAGTTACTAAATTCGTAATTCTATGACTTGTGAATTATTGCATACTTCACCAGCAATAGCGTTTCTTCCTGAGAAGTAAAAGACTTTCTCTTGTAGTGCTGTTATGGACTACTTAGCTATTGATACCTACGAAAGCATGCTAGCTACTCTTGGTGACACAATACATTGTAGATGCCTAGCACCCGTAAAGAAGAGTCTTACCCTCATCCTCATCTCATAGTTGCGTATGAACTCCCTGAGTTCATCCTCTTTGTCCTCCAGTGTTCCATACAGTTGCTTCATCTGGTTTAACAGGTCCACTTTTTCTGCCTTCAATCTCTTCCTGTCCGCTTTCATTGCTGGAGAGAAAGGAAAAAAACAGCAAGGTTCATTCTTGATATCTTATTCCATACTCCAATTTTCTGCTCCATTGCTTTCAGTTGGGACTCGAATAAATAACAGCCCTCTCAATCTAAATCTATTACCTTCTCAAGAACTAGAAAATGCATTTTACAGAAACGTGTTTTGTAGTGTTTTGTAGACGATCTTTTAAGATATGTCCAAATTGGTTGGTATATATTGTTTATGAAGCAGACCAGATTCCTATTACAGTTAGTAGAACTGTTAGATATTCTCAACACCACCATAGGTGTATGTTAACACCACAAACTATGTATGTATCATTTTGCCATACGTTGTACCCGCTACATCTGTTGCGCAATGAAGTTCTTCTTCTTTTACATCCACTGTGCACACAGTTTCTCTTCCATACTTATTTGGTTCAATATTTGTTGCCCTAAAGTTAGCTAGCTAGGAGAATAAAGGTGATGTCTAACTGTAATCTCCAAGCATATCAAAGGGTCGCAAGGCAGTATTCATTGGCTAGAGGAGTGTCCATTATCATCTTCAGTGGCTAATGGACACTCCTCTGGCCATTGTGGATACTGCCTCTCCACCGTATGATCTTCTTGAAGATTAGCCTATTATATATATAGTAACTGAAAGTCTCAGATATCTAGTATATACAATGTATTATGTGGTTGCGGTTAAAAGCTACATTATATTTCATAAGTTGACATAAAAGGAACAGATTCTTCCGCAATATCTGGGCCTGACTGTACTTATAGACATATTTTTTTATTGCTGTCATTGTGTGTATTTTTTTATCTGTATGTTTTATATGGGTGACTTATGCCTGAAATAAAGAAATAAAAGTCTAGTATTATACAATTCCATGTACCTGCAAGAGCTTCCTTTGCCCTGGCCAGCTCATGTTCTGTCTGTGTCAGCTGTACTTTAAGTTCAGACACGGCAGGGCCAGACTGGCTCTCAATGGTTTTCTGTGACCTCAGCTCCTCCAGCTCCTTCAAGAGGCTGCGGTTGTCTTCTTCAAGACGCACTTTTGCCTCCCTTAAGTTGGAAACCTCCTGTTCCTTCTGCCGCAGGCTTTGTTCTATTGAGAAACAACACAGAGGGATCATTTTATGTTCCATACCAGGGTTTAGTTATTATATACCTGTAACATCCTCTTCATCCTTTGCAAGAGATAGGGCCATAACTTTTTCTTTCTATCTGGGTCTGTCCTTGGCCACATTCTTTACTTATTGCCAGAATAGCCCCATACATGTACATGTAGATGCCAGGTCATCTGTCACAGTTCTTCTCCAAGACTTAGTGGTTTTGGGTCTGCCTTTGTCATACAAGGGTTTGCTGTGGACAAAATGTGTTGTTTTCAGCAGGTTCTCCACTGGGCTTGCTTCTGCTAAAAACAATACAAGGTGATCAGTATCAGCTGCAATATCTGCTTGCATGTTGCTCGGCATTTCATGCAAACTGAAAGTGAAACACTCAGTGATTAGTTGGAACTCTTGCAACAGGTTTTGTTCAGCAACATTTGCAGATGACATTCTGTTACCCTCCTGTCCACATTAGGTAACGCAAGTGTTAGCAAGAAACGCTGCCATAAGTTAAAAGTCAGGTTTGTGAAATATTACTTATCTGTGATATCTAGGGACAAAACAATTTTGGAGCAGATGGTGAGGGAAATATTCTGCATTTGCTGGCAAATATCTAATCCCCATCTCTCAACATGATTGATGGCATCCGGGAACAAATATAGACTCCCGATCTGAAGCACAGTAGTCAGGGTAGCTCCTAATTTCAAGGTCTGCAGCTACCTCAACATTAAAATCTGATTACCCACACTTCATGAAGCGGCGATAAAATCCAATTTTACCAGGGGTTTTGAGTGGGTGCTTCAACTTAGAGCTGATTATTTTTCACGATGTGAGTTGACAAAGCACTTGTCTGTGCAATGCACACTGGTAAAAAAAACTCATTCACTATAAACTTTTAGTAGAATGGAAGTAGAAAATAGGACTCCATCAACAATGACAGATATAGCCACAAGACGCCACTTTGCGTTTATGTAAAAAAAGTGTCTGTCATAATTTTAGATCAATGTTATTCTCCTGCTGTTTATATGTGCATGAATCTTCTGTAGACGTGGTAAACTCAATGTATACAAACAGTTTTTCTACCAGGTGTGGGGTTAATACCCAGTTCCTCACAATTTCCTACCCCAGTACATTATAAGATTACAGGATAGTGCCCTTTATTGTCTAGTCCTCTGGGAGGAGGAAGGAAATGGGCCTGGAGACTTATAAAAATGCTGAGAGGGAGGACCATCAATATCATGCCATGCAGTCCTAAGCTTTGGTCAAGTGAATGGCAAGCTCTTGAGTTGAGTTGAGTACATGTACTTGCATATAAAACGCAGCTGCAGGGAAATTTTGGCTTCCATGTGTACCTGATTGAAGGATGAACTGAACTGAACTGAACTGAACTGATGTGTACGTGAATGTGGAGGCTAATTCTTAACAGGCCTGCACTGGAGTTTGCATTTGCCGTTCTAAGAAATTAACTACTAAAACATGTTAACATCTAGCAGAAGATGCAATACACAAAATACAAGATTTGAAAATAAGTGACTTGTTTGATTTTGATTGGGAAATGGCACTACTGTCAGTATAAATATATAAATAATTTTTGCTACATTTATGTACAAACAAAGGAAAACAAGTATGCTTCAAGGAAGACTAGAAGAGAAACATAATAATATAATTATTATGTCGTTACACCTTTCAATAAATATTGTTACATGAAATTAAATCATAAATAACAACAATTGTACCAAAGTTGTAAAAAAAATCTATGTGAGTAGCTGACATGCAGTATGCCAGTAATTCATGCAAGAAAACACAAAGATTAACTGAAAGGGTACTACACTACAAAAATGCAAGCAAATGCCAATGAAATCTACAAAAAACATTTTTCAAGAAGAGATATGTTTTTCTCTATTAAGTATCCCATTGGAGGAAGATCAGATTTATATTAGAATGGTCTACATCTAGACTACATGGTGCTATAAAAAACATAACTACCACTACGTGCATGATGCACAGAAGTAGTAAAAGTAGTGATTATTTTGGATTATTCTAACCTGAGGGATCATCTTTCTTTGTATCCCAAGATCTCCATTCTGAAAGAGGATTCAAACAGTTGTCACATTCTAAAACACAACTCTGGTGATCTATCTCACAATTCTGAGGAACAATTCAAAGGAAATGTCCAGTATAGCAACTGGTACTGGAACAAAGCTCTGTGAAGGTGATGAATTATACAATTACACAATTATAGATTGATCATTCTCTTTTTAACATAAGTACTCCATGGGGGAATCAGGAAAACAGTGACCTATAACATAGTTCATGTGTACATTTGTCAAATTTTCACAAAAGGGTACACACAACACAATCAGTTATATTATTTTATATATAATATATATGGGTCATATTTTATATATTATTTGAAATATGACCCACCTTTTAAACAAGCAGTAACAGTGTTAGCAAACAGTATGTATGATCATGGAACGCTGAGACTTGACATATATAAGATTTGTATATAATGTAGGTTTTAAAATCACTTCCCTTATTACTAGTACTTTTAATGTGGTCAAGCATGTATTCTTTAGTGTTTTTTGAATTTGTCATTGCTGTAAAACATGCAATTCAGCCTGTGCTTGCTATGTGTTTTGGACGAATAAACCAGTCCTTTCATTCATTCAGTTAATACATCAACTCTGGAAACACTTTCTACAATATCAAGTAAGATGATTTTAAGGAATTCAGGGTCTGTACTAACATCTCAAAGTTATGGTGTTGAATTTAAATCACAGCACGATACTCCTTGACTTTTCATGTATCAATCAAATTAACATAAACAAAGGCCGCAGACAATCAAGGTCTAGTTCTACTTTAACCTTCTTCCTGCTTGCTTACCCAATAATCAATACACATGTGACATTTTGTGCCAAAAGGTGGCCAGCAGGGAGAAGGTTAAGTAGTAACTTCAAAGAACCTTTCATAAAAATGCATGTCATTGTGCTTCATCTCCTTTGACTACCTTTTAGAATCACTTCAAATGCAGAGTACAATACATGTATACATGTCCAACAATACAATGCAATACATGTCCAACATTGTTACTGCATTTCTTGTTCTAATTTTAGTAGTATACCCGACAGAGAAAGAAGGCATTTCTTCATTTATGCATCAATGTGCTTAACCGTTTGATGAATACATATTTTATACTTCTGAGATCTGACCAAATGTAAGCCTATAGGAATATTTCATACGAACAGTAGCAAAAATTTTGCTTTTGCATTGGAATAAAATTTATGATTTCAATTTCATACACGTATACACCTGGTTGAAATTCTTCTTGGTGTAACTTATTTCAAGATTGAAGCAGCACTTAATAACTCCTTGGCAAGTGTCCAAGATGCTGTGAGTATTTCAGACTCTCTTCTTCAGCACTTCATTAAAACTTCCTCCCCTTCAATAGCACTCATTAAGCATCATCTGCTCTATTCATACATCTGCTGCAGAATCTCAGACATTTGCACAACACTTAAATCATGATGAACTAGGTCGATGAAGGTTAGACATCCAGGTAATACGATACGCCAAAAAACAGTTATGCAAGTGACTGGATATGATTTTGAAAACGGTCAGACATTTCAGCTAGTATCCACTAGCTTTCGTCAGTGACTGAGAGACCAGAGGAGAAATGCAGGTTTATAAGCACAAACTACTGATTGATATGCAAATAAACTGAAGACAATTTTTTGGAAGTTGAAAAGGAACAAAAGTCAGAAAAGTCAAGACAAGATACGTCGATGAAGGTTAGACATCCAGGTAATACGATACGCCAAAAAACAGTTACTCAAGCAACTGGATATGATTTTGGAAACGGTCAGACGTTTCAGCTAGTATCCACTAGCTTTCGTCAGTGACTGAGAGACCAGAGGAGAAATGCAGGTTTATAAGCACAAACTAGTGATTGATATGCAAATAAAGTGAAGACAATTTTTGGGAAGTTGAAAAGGAACAAAAGTCAGACAAGACATGTTGATGAAGGTTAGACATCCAGGTAATACGATACGCCAAAAAACAGTTACTCAAGCAACTGGATAATGATTTTGGAAACGGTCAGATGTTTCAGCTAGTATCCACTAGCTTTCGTCAGTACATGATGAACTAGGCTGAGGACTTGATGGATCAATGTGAGAAGTGATGACGGAAGACTCGGGGTGTCTGAGTGATGATGGTCTGTGCTGGGACATGACCGTGGTACTGATGAAGTCATCCATCTCAAGACTTGAGGTACAGTGCCGAGTTAAGGTGGGAAGAAATCATCCAAAGCAACATGTCTGGCAAAATTTTACTCTTACACTTCCCTGCCGCACAGTTCATCTAATGATATGTTAAGTATGTAGAGAACACTGATGGCGGTAAATTTAGTTTAGATGAAAAGGAAAGTTCTTGGAAAACTAAAATTGTAGGAAGAAATTATCCAAAGCGACTTGTCAGGCAACATTTTACTTCTCTTACTCTTCCCTGATCACTTAAAATGTTATGTATGTAGAGAACACTGATGGTGGTAGATTTAGCTTATTTGAAAAGAGAAGTTCTCAGAAAAATAAAATTGTAGGAAGATATCATCCTTGCCACACAGCTTCTTGACTTTAAATGATCTCTAGTAATACACACTATAATATTTTAAGTTTAGCTTAGGCCACACCAATTTAATTTGTTGGTTCTCGGATTCGCCTCTTCATTTTTTCTGATTTGCAAAAAAAAAAGAATTCTGGTTCTGAATCAACTCAAAAATGCTCATATTTTGCCCCCAACAGTTGAGGAAATTCCTTTTCTTCCTAGTTGTTACAGTTTTTTCCATCTATCAATGCAGTGGTTTGATTAAAAGTTCAAAATTTATACTTTAAATTTTAACCCAGCCTTTTTTGTTGACTTCATGGCTCATATAAGTAGCATTTGGGGCTAAAATAGGATGCCTAGACCTGTTTTTATTTTTATTTTTTTTCACCCTGTCGCTTCATATTTTTTCTGAAAAAAATCCGAGAACCAACAAATTAAATTGGTGTGGCCTTATTTGAAAAGGAAAGTTCTCAGAAAACTAAAATTGTAGGAAGAAATCATCTGAAGCAACTTGTCTGGCAAAATCTTACTTCTCTTACTCTTCTCTGTCACACACTTCATTGACTTTGAATGATCACTAAATAATATGTTAAGTACGTAGAGAATACTGACAGTAGTAAATTTAGCTTAATAATATTTGAAATGAGAACTTTTGAGAAAACTAAAATCGTCTTTTTTATAGTCTTTTTATGTGGAGGCTGTTCCTGCAGAGAGCAATATAATTGGGACAAAATACTTTACATTAAAATCTGCAGTATACAACAGCTGGATATAGATGTAATTACAGGCACTTAGGACAGCTTTAAGCACCATATGTTGCACAGATACATAATACAGCTATTAAGTACTGACAACAAAATTATTTTCAGTCAGCATTCTGAGAAGTGATCATTTCCTCAACGTTAATGGAAGCTGGAAGCCATGAAGATAACTAGGAAAATGATTAAGGAAAATGCAGCCCGTTCTGCAACAATACAGGCAGTCCAAACAAAAACATCTAAACAACAACATTTAACAGAACGTTGTCAGTTTTCTTCCAGTGTGGTAACAGCTGAGTCAAATAAACATCCCGACCATCTCACGTTCACTACACACATAGCTAAACAATCAACCAGCCCAAATTTACCAGCTTACACCAAATTACAACAATGTGCCTAAGAATGTAACAGGTACACAAGATTTGTACTCAGACATACCTCGCCGGCGTTTGCGTCCGAAGCGGACTTGGAAGGAGACGCTGCCTCTCATGACTAGCTGCTTCCTACGATAACCTACCACCAATGAATGATATGCGAGCTGGGATGTGCAAAACCATGCTCCTGTGCAACATGTTCACGTGTTCCAATGATTCAGATGTGCTGCTGTGATTGGGAGGTCTGATGAAGCCTGAATTCCCCGAGCAGCGTTCCTTTGAACCTACTGATCTGAAGTGGGGCAGAGGAGTATTTCGGGAGCCGTCTTAAAGTCTCGGGGGAGTACGTCGCTATCAATTTTCCACAAGCAGAACGAGCTTTGATTCAGGATGCTAAGCACCATCCGTTCATTCTCCGCTAGGCTTTGAAGCACTTCCGCAGTCTGCTTCATAATCTCGTCAGTGTAGAATGAATAAATGCATTAGGAAGGCTGTACACTCATGTGTCCCACTCTTTATGCTTCGTTAAGAACACTTCCAGACCCATGTAAGGGTCGGGTTTCAATTGTTCAATCCATGCATGTAGATTATGGTGAAATTTTCATTCATGAATATGTAGAAGAAAACTAAGTGACTGAAAAGTAACACAGAAGGCAATCTGCCAAGGGGTCATCAAAGTTTCTGGAGACATCCCATTCCTCCAAACTAGCCCTGTGCCCTAAGTCCTGTGACCCTTTGAATATTTCACAACCTAAGACATCCAATGCAGCTGCAAAAGGGAGACCTCTTTCTCAGTGTGGCCAGAGGTCAGAAGGTCATGTCAATGTCAGAGTTATTGCCAAGGGCATCTTCTATGGGCAACTTCCTACATAGACAGGATTCCTCAGGAATGACTACACTATGCTTGGCTCATTAAGTCTTTGTCCTGGATTACAGACCTCTGTGTACTTCAGCCATGACTTGTGTGGACTGTACATGTGATAGACTGTAATGTTCAACAGCCAAAATAATCATTATCCATCATGCGTCCCTACAGAGGGAAAATGCTGGTGGAAGTTTGGTGGGGGGATTACTCTGTTGTTAGTGATCAATGTTACTGCAAGCTTGATCCCGAGACAAGACAAAGAGTACATGATCTGGCTACGCTAACTGACCAGAATTTAGCTGCTGGCTCACATAAACGTCAGTAACAGAGAGATAAGGGGAGAGGGAATGGTCAAAGAAGTCAAAGAAGTTCTCTGTTACCATCTCTTTCCAACATACCGGTAGTAGAGCTACATGTACAGCATCTTAATGACAGTACTTTATGTTCCTTACTGCTATAAGGGTCCACATCACTTTCACATTTACAAAACTGTAATCTCTTTGATGTAGTTCAAACCTCTATCTACTGTACAGGTAGATTCTCGTAATTGATACATATACATGTACATAGATCACCAACTTGTGTTGGTTATACTCATTTTTCTTTTACCCATTTTGTAATTTTGTTTGTATTTTGTCATTGTGTTTTACTCTTGTTTTATGTTTTTAAGTAGGAGGCGTCATTTAAGCAACTTTACTTTTTGCCTGATATTTGATTACCAATGATTAGCCAAGAGTGTTATCTTTATGTTACCCCAGGCTATTGTTTATGCTAACACATCATAGAAAAATAAAAAATAAAAAATAGAAAAATAAAAATAATAAAATTGTCCGTACCATCGTTGTCGATGTGGTTATTTTCTGTCCTGCAGCTCAGTTCGGTTAGCCTCTTGTTGGTGTCGGCCAGCTCAGCGCGGAGGGCGTTGACCTCTTGGTTGGCTGACTGGATGGACCCGTCGATTCTGGACGCAAGCTGCTTGTTGTCGTCAACCATTTTTCTAAACTTCGCCTTAAAAAAAGAAACAAAGAGAAAAACAGCTTTCTTCAAAACTCTGAACTTTGCATGAAAATGCAAACATTCCTTGACAAAAAATCTATTATACAATTTATCCTATTTGTAGTTACAATTACACTGTGCAAACCTAAATATATGCATCATCAAAACATAATGCACGTCCAAAGGAACAAATTGGAAACGTGATTACAGTTTGAATGACTCATCAAAAATGAAAATCAGCTCCCTTTGGATGAATGCATTGGAAATGCAATACACATCAAGGAAATTATACTCAAGCAACTGGACAGATTCTGGAAACTGTCAGACATTTCAAGAAACATCCACATGTACTACATTGTACTTTTCGTCAATGAACAGTGACGAATTTTTGAGTTGAAGAAGAATTGCGAATATGCACAGTTCTTGAACATGAGTATCTGCAAGACTGCAACTAATTTTAACATGTCACAAAATGTTCGGGACTTTCAGCCATCTATTTATGATAAAATTTTAGGAGAATGTACAAAAAAGTGAGGGGGGGCGGAAACCTACATGTACAATTCTGATGCACTATCTAGTTTTTGCCCGAGGTAGCACACTGTGCTACCTGGCCCAAAAAAGTATTTCGAACACGGTTACGTACCTGTGCATCAACCAGGAGTCTGCGCATGAGCGCCATGGAGGCCTTGAGCGTGTCGCGCTCCTTCGGTGACATGGCGTCCCCCTCCCCATCGCACTCAGACGACTTTGGCGTGAAGATGAACTGGACAATCTGGTCGTTCAGGGTATCAAGTGACTGGATTGCTGTAAGAAACACAAAAACAGTACATTGTAAGTTCTTGAACATGAGTTTCTGCAATCAGAGCATTGCAAACTGCATGGAATCATCTTACCATGGCACTTTGTACTGGACAGGTATAAAAGTCAGAACTTTGTAAACTTGTGTCATTTAGCCTCTGTACACTTGAAGAAGCAACACAGGCAAAACCGGTCGTGTGACAGGCTGAATAAAAGTTCTTAACAGGAATTATGCGGTTCCATTGCAGGTGTCTTACTGAGGGACGACTGCATGTGCGAGATGTCGGTTAGCTTGAAGAATGAATCCACTCAACTACATAGGAGAATCTGCAATTGATTTCAACGTGTCACAAAAAATGTTTTACTTTCAGCCATCTTTTTTGGATTGGTGTTGATTTTTTTTGTACTTCTGAATAGCACACAATCAGTAGTGACTACAAATACACAAGTACTGCTCTTAGCTATGTCCATTAATGTTTGACAACCAGGTAATAAGATACATGTACAAGGAAACTGTTACTCAAGCAGTCGGATAGGTTTTGCCATAGTTCCAAAACCTATGATATAAACCTGTTAGTTCAGTAACAATTTCCTTGTACTGCCCTTACAGCTGTTAGACAAGTGTTTTAGACTTAACTAGCCTGGTTATTCTGGCATTTAGATGTATATAATCCATAAATCTACAAGGACATTCACATGTAAAACCTCTTGAAGTAATTCTAACCAGGATGTTTAGATCTCGTAATGGCACACAAAAGTCAAGAACGTGCACTTGGCACAAAACCCACAGGACCTTAAACACAACTGTAACCACAACAAACACCAATCATCTACATCATTATGGAGCTAATCTAGACAGGCCTTTGGTACACGTATGTTTAAGCACACACAAAACCCTAGCATGTGGCCAACGAAGCAAAAAGAAAAGTCTAGCAAGGCAACCTGGTTGAAATGAACACTAACCGTCTTCATCATGCATTAAATCCTTCTTTTTCTCACTCATCTTTGTCCAGAAGCAGTTTTCACACTTCTTCCGCGAGCAACATGTTTTACAGCACCAGCAACAAAGTCACAAAGCAGTACGGACTCTTTCTTGGTGGACCACAGAAAACCCAGACATTATTGACACAATGGCAGGCTGCACTGCTCAGGTGTAGGTTCCCACCAGGAGTTACAGTGTAGTGTGTACGTGGTGTATGCGGACTTGATTGCATTGCCTATTTTCTATAATGTCAAAGTCCTCTCGCCATGCCAGAGTTGCTAGGATATCACATGCACATGTCGTACAAGTGAAGCAATTTTAATCCATTATTTCTCAAACTTGACAGCAAGTTTCTGGTAAATGAATCGTCTCGATTATTACGTGCATTAATAAAACACTGAAGACACTGAAATGAATTTTCTACTATGATATATTATTGCTTCCCCAAACTTTCATTTTTCTTAATTGTCCTTCATTTGGATGACATGTTTGCAAACCAAGATATAACAAGGCTACAGCAAGAATATAGGAATGAGTGAAATTCAATGTTAGCTGTCATATTATCCATAATCCATTGTGTATATACATTGCATATAATATGGACATGTTGTCCCTATAGTGTAAAAAATCTGTTTTTAGTGAGATTATTATTAATCCAACAAGACCTGTATATCCTTCCATTGCAGACATGTGTAAACACTGCAGTAATGAAACATGTACTAGTGATTTATCATGTTGTTTTGTAACTACAAGTTCAGCTGTGTTGAACACAAGGCAGCTGAGAATGTTTAGGCCACACCAATCTAATTTCTTGGTTAACGGATTTGCCCCCTTCATTTTTTTCTGATTTGCAAATAAAAATAAAAATTCAGAATCAACTGCAAAATGCTCATATTTTGCCCTGAACAGTTGAAAACAGTCCTTTTTACCCTAGTTGTTACAGTTATTCCATCTTTCAATGCAATGATATCATTAAAAATTCAAAATTCATTGTTTAAATTTTGAACCAGCCTGGTGGGTTGACTTCAGGGCTCCTATCGTATCATTTTGGGCCATAATAGGATACCTAGGCCTGTTTTTTTTTTTTTCGCCCACCCGCTCCATTATTTTTCTAGAAATATCCGTTAACCAAGAAATTAAATTGGTGTGGCCTTAGGGGTGTTTGTAATGCTACATGGAGTTGGAGAGTCCTGTGCATAGTATCAGGGCTCGAAATTCATTTTTGGCAATAGGTGCACTGGTGCACCCAACCTAAAAAATTAGGTGCACAAAAAATTTTGGGGTGCACCATATGAAACAAAACCTACTAGTATTAATTGCAGGTCTTACTGCTCCTCTTCTGAGCTTGAATCTAAAATGAGAGCTAACTTCAAAATCTTAAACATTACTACAACAAAGATTTTATATTTTTCTGATACTTAGAGACCAAGAATATCTGGTATACTAGTATACACTTCTAATGTTAAAAATTCCTACAAAAATATTTGGGTGTGCACCCACAGAAAAAAATTAGGTGCACAACTCCAATTTTGGGTGCACTAAGGTGCACATGCACCCAGTATTTCGAGCCCTGGTAGTATGTATAACTTGGTAACATATTAGACGCCATTACACAATCGGTTAAAACTTTGTACCATGACCTTCACGGTGAATAACCTTGGCTAACCCATGAGGTTTGGGACCAGGTAATTTCTTTTCGCAAAATAAGATATAACAAAAGCTGAACTTCTAAAAGCAAGAAACACAGTATGAACAGACTTTACCTTGCCTCTTAATCGCATCCATAGATGCTAATAAATTATTACAAAGGCAATGTAAAATGTTCATTTCTTCATGGCTGGAATAGCTAATGTTACAATTGAAGTACTGACCAAGAACTTGCTACATGTACATGTATGCTTCACTTACGCCAAACAATATCACAGTAACTTCAAAACTGCTGTTAACAGATTTCAAAAGCAGATTTCTATTCCATATGGTACAGACTATGTTCCTATACCATATACCTTAAGGATAAGTAAACATATACTGATCATTAGCAGTTGACGATAGCACATAAGAACAACGACAAACCTTGATCTTGCTCACAACAAGAATCCATTGTAACTCGCAGCTCTAGTACCCTCTCCAGAGACGCTTTCACTCCCACAAACACTGAGGAAACTTCACTCCGTCACCCCACCCATGGAAATAAAAGCCCTCCCTATCCCTCCCAATGCTGTCACAAATGTGAAAGTTGTCCTGAAATGCCAGCCACAGCCACAACCTTTACCAGAGGAGATTTGGGGATGAGAGAACACATCTGGCCCAGCCATCCCCAGCTACAAACACCATTAAGCAGTATTATGGGATGTGAAGAAACTATCGAGTTTCTGGGCATACAGAGAGCCACTTGTTTAATGTACTTTGGCCCTCTTGCAGCTAATACAGCATTTGCACAGCAGGGGACCTTCTGTTACCCTCTACAATGTGGACATTTGACTCGACATGAGTGTCTAAATAACACATTTTTGCTTAGTTAGTACTTTCTCTTTTTCTAGCAGCTCAAATGGTAATTATCTATGACTAGGCTATCAAGAAGTTCCAAAATGTAACTGGTGTAAGCTCCAAATTTTTACACCTGTAGAAAACTCAAAACTAAATATTGTTTTGATACCTTTGCATTTAAAACTGACAAAATTATTAACTTCAGAACCAAATTTGATTATAGAACATGACATAATAAAAAAATGTAACCAGCAATGTTGTGAGAAGTACATCTAATAATTATCACTTCATAATAATATCTAATACCAATTCTACTGCATCAAGTATGAGATATACAATGTATAACTCAGGTAGGAGTTGTTTTAAGTTTTAATATAAACATAACAAAGCAAGGTGCACAATGTTAACAACTGTACTATGGTAACTCCTGGTGAAAGTAGTAGAAAGCAGACCTTGTTCCATCAGACAACACTTCCTTTGTTTAGCGAACAGGAAGGAATCCATGCATGAGCCTACTCTCCCTGGACCAAGTCAAAACATCAGGGCATGTTCTCATTTCCAACAGGTTTGAAAGACAAGCTGCAGACTGCAACTCAGAACACCTGCTGGACATCTTCACTGTACTGCTAGAACTTACAACTGACTTTTCTTAATCAACAGTATCATTTATTCTCAACAAATATTATGTTGTATTATTTGAGCTAGCTGTTTCATTCCATTTTAGAATACTAAAAGACTTTGAAATGAAAATAAGTTTATGTATGAGATATAAATTATTCATGCAGTCTTTTATGAGATTGGCGAACTTACATTTTGAGCCTCTGTAAAAGGAAGTTTTATTTTATTGCACTAATGAACAACATAACAGTTGGCTGTACATGTAACAACATGTAACACATATGTAAGAAGCTCCCCCTACCAATTTTGCTAAGATCTTCAGTGCCTAGCTACATGTACATGTAGGTTGCTGCAGAATACATGTCATGTAGAGTACATTTCCTCTATGGAGTTTACCAACAGTGATTCTCCAATATGGCCTGCCAATACATTTATATATTGAAAACATCAGCTTTAACTTTAGGTGTAGTTTTACTAAAATACATAAGTCTTTAATACTACATGCAATATGAATTAAGGATAATCATATACCTTTAAAACTTTTAGCAAATTGCATTGTAAATCTCTTTTGAATTTATGGTGTTGTATTTTGTTAAATGGAGCTGGCACAGAGATCAATATGGCAATCAATAGAGCATACCAATTATCAGTATCAAGAGAGCAGCAACAACTGAGGGCTACTGCAAATATGTGATAACAACATGCAGAAACAATAACCTGGCAAAGACCTGCCCTCACAATGGTGAACATACAGATCAAACGGATCAATTGTCCACATTACAGACACAGATATAAACTTCACACTTCAAAGGCATTTCTGTTTAAGGCTATGTCACTGATTAGCCAGGACAATCGATAGCAGGTCCAGATAGTGTCTTACTGGGCATGTTTTTACTAACCGGGGTCTGATCTTGGACAC